ATGTTTTGATTTAGAGTTGGATAAGTGGTTTTCAGGCATTGTGGTATTCTTGGAAAATGTGCATTTATGAATTTGCTGAAATATTGACAGGTAAACAAGCAAACTCCCTGAAATCAGAACCCTCCCACTGAAAAATTAGAGCCCTCTCACTGAATAATTAGAACCCTCTGAAAATTAGAGTTCTCCCAAACTGACGAAAGCTGACTACAGGCCTGAGACAGTAACATTATAACGGGCGATGCTATTATTCACTCAAAATGAAATAATTGCATATCTTTTTGGTTTGAATAATTTCTTAATTTCCCCATACAAGATTGCATGTGTATTGGCTATTATAGAATTATCATCAGTCGCAAAGAACAATTTTAAATGATTTATATACGCATTACATAATCTTCCGAAATTCATGCCACATAGAACAATTATATATTATTTAATGTTTTGATATAGGTACTAATTACTGAAAATTCCATAACGAAATAAATTGTTTGGGCGATGGATTTTTGGCACTGATTGGGGAAGTAGAGATTTTTATGAATGAACTTTGAAAGGTTTTGGGGTAGTGTTAGATCATACATGTTATATTATATAATAATAAAATTGGTGTAATGAATGAAACATGTTTAAGATATATGTATTTATACAGTGAAACCTGTAAAGTGGAACACCTCTAAAAGTGGAACACCTCTTAAAGTGGAACACCTCTAAAAGTGGAACACTTTTCAGAATCCTAAGACTAACTGACTTCAATGAACCTTTATAAGTGGAACACCTCCCAAGTTGAACACTTTTTAGAGGTACCCCTCCTAAGTATAACACTTTTTAGAGGTACCCCTCCTAAGTATAACACTTTTTAGAAGTACCAAAGGTACAGAACATATTCAAAACAGATTTCAGACATTGTCTTAAAATTCTTTGGAATTCTTTGGAACAGTCTCTTATATTGTCCGTGATGTACTTTGTCCAGAAATACATGCATATCACAATAATTCTATTAAGATGACAAAGTCCACAATAAAAGATCTCAAGTCTTACTGGTTGCTTTCCTTTAAGAAAATTATGCTAAAAAGTAAATTTTCTAGTTCTGAAATGTACATAATGATCTTTTAAAGAAAATGAGAAAAACTATAGTTTATTTTGAATTCAGAATCGCTCATTTGATCGTAATAAAAGACAAACACCCCAAACCTTTGTTCGTATCCTATAATATAAAATATAAATTTGTGGTGTGTCACAGAATGATTCCCTACGGGAGAGCTACACGAACATTTCTCTTTCGATAACTTTTAATTTAGATTATGCTGTGACATAAAATGAATGGTACAATTAAGAATTATACAAACAGTACAAATTTGCCATTTTAATCTTTTAATGATTTATGAAACCAAGATCAACCAAACATTACAGGAAATTATGAAATTCAATCTACCATTTGAACTATCTGTGGGGGATACATATAATAATTCAGAGACTGACTTGCCGAATTAAACTTTCTGTGTTCGTCATTCGTAATTGGTGAATAAAAGTTGTTACTGCCACATCCAATATGTAATGCCAATCAAAGAAAGGGAGAATAATAAAATTGGGCCTTAATAATCGGCAGGTTTTGCCCATGGGAGGGGGTAATTTGACACAATAGGTCAATCAATAAAGTATAGACTGATCTAGAAAGATAGAGTCATTACTTATACTGACAAAATGTGTTGACTGTTCACACTTCCCCCCTTCTACAACAGCTGGGCCTCTGACTTGATCTCATCTTGGAGTCAGTTAAAATATCCGTCTGCTCATGCTTATTTCATTTCATTTCTCTCTAAAATTTGATTAAAGTCTCAGATTTTAATACATTTTAATCCCATTAAGAGTCTTCTTTTTAAGATAAATTAATATATTCCATGCCAAATCCTTGCCATTTCACTCTATCTGAGTTTCAAAACAAGATAATATCATTTTGTTCATCAGTCTATTGTTAACAAATTATGAACATCATATTTTTGGGAAACTTCAATAATAAAACATGAAACGAGGATTAGTGGGAAATGTAAAGATAATTATTATTTATTATTATTTATTTAAAAAATCCTTTATACTTTTGATATTAGTGATAAGATGAAAATGTTATGAACTCAATGGTTTTAAACATTTCTCAGGGAGATTTGATTGATCTTTTTTGTAAGGGTGAGATATATTGTGTTAAATCAGTATTACTAAGAATTACTTTCTTTGATTGTATTCTTTAATTACTGTCAGCGACCCTTACAAAGCAGCCAATAAAGTCATATTATAAATATAAGTCTACGTCTTAACTAAACCCCGTATTATATCCGGCATATTTGTATCTCCTTTTTCCAAGCCAAAAAGTTTATTTTGAGTTTTTTAAACAAAACTTAACTTGCAAGATATTTTGTTGGCTTAAATTGTTTGATGAGGAAAACTGTGGACATATTTTAGATTAAAGATCCCAAAAGTACACTCCGCAGGTCTGGAAAATAAAAAAATTAACCGAAATAAAGTTGGCTGTGATTTAAATTACATGTGGAGATAGAAACAGACGCTATGGATAGTCCATGGTGAAATTCCTGGCATAATTGTTTGGGGGTCACATTTTCAAATCTAAAATAGAGTGAAAAAGAGTGGAATTTGCAAGGACTAAACAACATATGAGTGTATCTAACACTCTAAATTATACAGAAATAGAAAAATATAAGCTAATTTATTAAATTTTATTTGAGAAATATTGGAATTTGTAGATAATTTTATTTAGGGGTTGACTGTTTTTTCGGAGTGGAATTTTCTAATTCAGTTTATATTAGAATGTGAACAGAGATTTCTAATCCAGAGTGACACATGTTTTTATTGAATTCATCACCTGTCTAATGTTAAAGCCACTTGTTTGTATTAGATCAGAAACTTGACTGATGTTAAAGCCACTCACTTGTATTAAATCTGCCACCAGACTACTCTTAAAGGCACTCATTTTTTGTATTTGTCAGTCACCTGACTAGTTTTAAGAAAGCCACCGCCACTTATTTGTATCGATTCAAGACAATTTATTTTCTCTTACAATATAATCTACAACATTCTACTCTTTTTAAAGCCACATGTCTTATTAAAATACATTTTAAAGGAACTTGATTGTTTGAAGCATCTAATAAACTTATACCTTATACATCTTCAAAATCTTAAAATCAATCATCTTCAACTTCTTCGATATACACATTTTTGGTAATTCAGATCTATTTTATCAAGACCCATAATTCATTCTTTATCATATTACAAAAATGAAAATCTACCGAAAATGATACGCGAGACAAAATATAATTTCTTTGGATCTCAAATTTCATTGTTAGGATACGACGCAATTCAAACAACATATTAATAAAATAATACTTGTATCTATTAATGTCTCTTCTTGATATCCAATACTCAATCAAAGTATCCATAACTTCCAATATGTTTTCTACTTGATGTCCGTCTGCTTAGAAATGTCGTCTGCTTGAAAAGTCTGTCTGCTCATGCTTTTTTCACTCATTTCTCTCTAAAATTTGAATGAATTGTCTGATTTTCTTGCATTTTTATATAGGTATGTTGACTACATACCTTTATGTTTTGTTTTGTAGTGGAATCATCTCTTCTACTGGGTTTTCCTGTTATTTTGCCTTTGGGCAACAGAACTCAGATTACTCGATTCAAAATAGATTTTGTAAGATACCTAAAACATAAAGATATCTAAATATCTATGATATTTAGACATATATTAATATTTTATTTTCTAATTTCAAAGAAATGATAGCTCAGATGTAGGTGAGTCACACATATTATAATATGAGCATAGAAAGGGAATATCGGAATTGAATATCACACAAGGGTTTATTTCGAAAACCAAACATTAGATAAATCCAAGCGAATTCCAGAATTTAAGATTTATTAGAATTCATTGGTGCAAAAATTTGATATGGTGTTAAAACAAGCACATTCGGATAGGATGCCACTCAATTGTGTTTAGTATGCATCACAAACCGTCTTTGGTTGAAATTTAATTAAATAAAACCATCGTTTTTCCATGCTTCAAGGGATATCATAGCCACTTAGTTGATGTACCGTACACAAAGTGATCGCCAATCCCTTGAAACAAATTCCGACAAATTTCTCAGGATTGTTTTCTTCCGCAATATAAGAATATAATTTTCATGTATTTTTCATATTTGAACACTTGTTAAAGTGATTTTTGTTCATGTTTTTTCATGAATTGCTCAGAAGAAAATAATGTTTTAAATAGTTTAATTTCATTGTGTTGAGATGTGACGTCTGATATCTCCCAAGTGTGATTGAGAAATTCATTCAAATTGAAGACACCCTGTTATAACAATCCGTCTGCTTCATGCTTATTCCACTCAATTTTTCTCTTAAATTTGAATAAAATGTTTGATTTTCTTGCATTTCTATACAATTTAGAGTATCCACTACATGCCTATTTACTTTATTCCTTACTAATTCCTCTCTTTTGCACTCATTTTCATGTTTGAAAACAAGACCGTGGTTACAATTATTGTTAGGCTTGACAGGCTCTGAAATTGTCTCTTTTACTTTAATGGAGTTCCTAGATTTAGATTTATTGATAGTGATTTGCAATAATTGGAAGAATGTTTGATTAGCTCTATGTGTCATTTGAACCCTATTATCAACCAGTTATGTTTAATTATACATTCGCAAAGACAAACATTTGACACGCTTCAAAAGTTCATCAATTTTTATGGAGCTCGGGATCTTTCTTAAGATGAATTTTATCTAATTATTTATTTAGAAATCAACAGGCATTAGAATTGTAACAGTTATAGAAATAGTTTACTTAGAAATTGTTCTCGCGATATTTATTGTTTGAATAAGTTGATTGATTGTTTGAATTGGTGGTGGTTGATTGATTGGATTTTTGATTGGTATTCCAACTTTTATCACCTACTGTATATGAAATGAAAACATAAAAATATATTTATTTGCAGGAACCCCTGTAAACAGGATCCCAATTATGGCCAAGCAGACACTTGATTTATATGAGCTCTTCAAACTGGTGGTGTCAAAAGGTGGTCTCGTGGAAGTCATCAACAAGAAATTATGGCGAGAAATCACAAAAGGTCTAAATTTGCCATCCAGTATAACTAGTGCAGCATTTACACTGCGAACACAGTAAGTTGGTTGTCAACATAATAAGAAATGTTCATTGTTAAAAATCTTGATCTTAACTCCTTTGGGCAATACCAAGGGAGAAAATGTGAGGGTATATTACTCCTTCTAGCAATAGCAAGGGAGAAAACATTTGGCTTTACTACTCCTTTAAGCAATACCAAGAAAAAATGTTTGGGTATATTACTCCTTTAAGCAATACCAAGAAAAAATGTTTGGGTATATTACTCCTTTAAGCAATACCAAGGGAGAAAATGTAAGGGTATATTACTCCTTTAAGCAATACCAAGGGAGAAAATGTTAGGGCGTACTACTCCTTTAAGTAATACTAAAGGAGAAAATACTTAGGGTATATTACTCCTTTAAGCAATACCAAGGGAGAAAATGTTAGGGCGTACTACTCCTTTAAGTGATACTAAGGGAGAAAATACTTAGGGTTATTACTCCTTTAAGGAATACCAATAGAGAAAATGCTTAGGTATACTTCTCCTTTAAACCAACAGAGAAAATGCTGGATATACTACCCCTTTAAGCTTAATCGAATAATAACTTTTCTTGATTCTTCAAAAAACATAACCCAAATAAAGTGTACCCTGATAATGTGAAGCTGAAATGATTGGCTAACAAAGAATATTTTTGTCGCTCTTATGTAAAAATAGGTTCTATACACAGGCATCCAAATTGCTAGATATATTTGAAAAATTGCACTCATTTATTTGGCAGGAAAATGATATAAGATGAGTATCGGACAAATCTGGCGTTCATTACTCATCCCCAACATCATACTAGAAACATTTCTTAAGAATTTTTAACCTTTCGTGAAATAACAAAATATTTTAGTAGGTTACTTAATCATATATTTTCGTTTTATTTTTGACAAATTGAGGCAATTTAGGTCATATATTATAATCGCTGGTTCATTCTTTCTGAGTGATTGGTTACAGTTATCTGTTCAATTCATCTGTAAAAGATGAGCGAAAGTCAGATTGATGAAAGCTATTATCCGAGTGCATTTCAGATTAAAGGGCTCCTTGGAGTATAGTGATATATCATTAGAAAGCAAGTTATTGTATGAATATTTTCTGAAAGTTGTCTGTTCAGTTCATCTGCAACAGATGAGGAAACATCAAATAAATTAAAGCTAATATAAGAGTGCTCTTCAAAAGGGCTCTTCAGAGTATAGTGATACACCATTGGAAAGCACATTATTAGAAGAATACATTAGTTATCTGTTTAATTCAACTGTAATATATAAAAGAAAGTGAGATAAGGGAAAGCTACAGAAACACAGAAGCAGTCATCAAGTGTACGTTCAGATTAAGAGGCTCTTCAGAGTATAGTTATATACCATTGAAAAGTCAATTATTAGAAAAATATATAAATCTTCAAGATAACTCTTTGATTCTTAAAGATCTAGCAATTTGTAGCTTTGCTAAGTTTACTATTGCTTACAATAAAGATATTAGATGACCATTGATATGTGTTGCTATGGTTACCCTGTTAACGAAATACTGATGATAATCTCCTATAAACATAAATGTATTGAAATGAAGAAATATACCCTCAACACATAGTAAACATTTTGTACACGATCCAAATTGTGCCGAAATTCCCCAAAATAAGTTACTACATTTTAACTATAAAGAGAAGCAACATGAAAAAAACATGAATTCATATGAAATTTTAAACGGGGACTACACCAAGGAAGATGGGTATCTTTAAGCGTCTATAAAAAATGATTAATAGACCACATTCCAAAAAACATATCTGAAAGACTGTTCTCTGTTAATCTGTAATGCAGAATGTTAAATCATTAACAGGTTTATAATGTGATTCATGTACACCTATCCTCTCCCTCATTTAAAGTAAATGTCACGGCCATAGTATTACAGGCCCATAAGCCAGCTTTTGCCACGGAGCTTCACATTTCAAAAAAAATCAGTGGGGGCTTCACTTTGACAAATTTGGCCAAAAATCACATCAAATATATTCAGAATGGTGAAAACTGCATGATTTTGAAAGAATTTTTGACCAAGGGGGATTAACCTTTGCAGGTTGTGACATTGCTATTGTGGGGCGATTGGTGTTCGGCAGCTTGGTATTCAACATTTGGCGTCTGTAACAAATGACTGTAGCATTTTGCATTTTAATAACTTTTTCTAAGACTATTGCCAAGAGGTTACCATTGGGAGTCAGTGTTTGGAACCCTGATATGAAAACACTTCCCGATTGAATTTCCCTTTTCTGAAAATATGACTCAAGTTTTTTTTACCTTCCAGGTACATGAAATACCTCTACCCTTATGAATGTGAAAAACTTAAACTCAGTTCACCAACTGAGCTTCAATCTGCCATCGACGGCAACAGAAGAGAAGGACGTCGCCCAAGTTACGGCTACGACCTCTCCCCCGGGGCACCTACCCTCCTCTCCCCCTCCCCCCATCACATAAATGGACTTTTCAACGGCCACTCAAGACATACTGTGGGTAAGTAGTATACACTTTTATACTCAGAGTTTTTCATCGACTTAATTTATCGTGATTTACATTAATTGTTATGTCTGAGTTAAGTCTTAAATGTGCAATATATTTGGATCGCCTGTCAATTGGCATATTGTTGTTGCGAAACTTTAATTACCCCATATATATATGTAACATCTTATACTTTCGTAGAGCAAAACAAACTTATGTACAATAAAGATATTCCACTTTTGTATGTACATTATAGTTATGTATTCAATTAAAACTTTAAAATTAGAAATCGCAGATAAATAATTATCGAAATCGACCAATTATTACAGAAAATGAAACCAATGAATTAAAATGTGACAAAAGACGTAAAGTTTTAACTATCAAAGCTAGAAGTGGCGATCGTTGTCACATTCTCGATTTTACGAGAGATTCATCTCACATATGATTAATGGATAAGACACTGTCATGTACAGTCTTTCAATTTTGAATAATTGTTTTAACTTTTCTGTTACGTTTCGACCTAGTTTCAAAGTAATTGTGTATTTTAAGTCAGTTAAAATTATGTTCAATCATGGCCATGGTTCAGTTCAGTTTCTCATAGGAGGTCTTATTGGTTTAATTAATTTTACTATTATTATTTTATTGTTTTAATGATTAAATTTTGGGTAAAAGTACCTGATTTTTGCATTTAGGATAAAATAGTTACTGTGTATGATTAGATTTACAATAATTACAATCGACATCCCAGAGGATCTAACAATGTTATACAATTTAGAACCTTGACGTACGTAATTTAATGTCCATTTTATAAGGCTTCTCTCCTTCCTCTGTTAATACGTCAACGTTTTTTTTATCTCCTTGAAAACTAGATGAGAAATTATAATTGTATTTTGAACCGACCCTGTCTGAGTTGAGAAAATGCATTACTTTTTGAGTACTTGATGTTTGATCTATTGATTGTTTAACCTCTTGAATTCCAGTCTCTAAAATCGGTTGAAACCAGAGAATTTTTCATTTTTGCCACCTTTTGATATTTAACTACATTCATATACAACTTTAGATGCTCAACTTAGTAAAATCAGACGGCGGAGATAATTTCTACAAATTCTAAAATAAGTTTTGTTTAAATTGGATGAAAATTGTTTAGATAAGAGCAATTTTAGTGAAAGATTTTGTGATGGATTTTCTCGTCACCCTGGGTTTCAAGGTCATTTCTGAGGTGACGAGATATCTCGTCACTCCAGGTAGTCAAGAGGTTAATCAAGGTTTAATTTTACGATTGTTTTGTTTTAGGTACACCCCCCATGATGCCACCAATGGCCCATCACCATCACCCGTCATTGATGAATGGCCTCCATCATCCCAGTCATCCAACCCCCATACACAACCGACCACGTAGCACAGGGTCATCAGGTATGACAAGAAAGATATTCGCTAAAATTCCATGACATGAAAATATGCTCTAAACTTTTATTTCGAAGAATAATAAAATATCTACAAATTAAACTGTATTCTGAAGAATTATCTTCAATTAATTCTCACATACGAACTTTCTTAAATTATATTGAGTGTATATTTTCCAAAATTGTGTGGTATAAAATAGCTTAAATTAGGTGACAGTAATGCCTGGGTCACATTTGCTCCGATCCATCGGCGGCGCCGATTGAGTGTTTTGTTCAATATTGTATTCAATTTTGAACAAAATACTCAATCGCCCGGGCGCCGTAGTGAAAATCGGAGCACATGTGACCATGGCATTAATGAATGTATAAGTGTCAATTTTGTGTACGGAAATGTATTCTAATACGACAATGAATGGAATATATGTATTTATATATGACACCTTCCTGCATGCATCTAACTGACACCATAGTGTTTTGCTTTGCATAATTATTATGAAAAAGTCTTTTGACTGGAATAAACATACCTTCTTGAAAGGTATATATCCCACAAGGATTCAGATTTCATCTTAAAATATGGATTTAGGTCGATAAAATGTATGACAGAAAATAAAATTTCTATCAATTGTTCAGTGATGGAAAAGTAACATATTTTTATTACTTTCACGATGAGAGAATTAATTCCGATGTCATTTTCATCGTAACGTCGCAATGATTTACAGCATTTATCCCAATAAGAAACTATTATGAGGTTGATTGCTGAATAGAGAAATGGGAATTTGAAGTGTAAACCCATATTAATGTAATCACGTCCTTAATTAAAACATATTAAAAGTATATCTAAAAAGCCAAAGTAATGTTCGCTATTGGAGAAAATGTCAGTTTAATAGAAGGAATTGTTATTAACCATTTCATTTAATGTTCATTGCATATAATATAACTGTTAAAGAGATTGTAACAATAACTTCAACCCGCCACTCAAAATGTCCGTCTGCTTTGAATATTTTGATCATTATCTCTCTAAAATTTGACTGAAGTTTGGGATTTTTTAGCATTTATGTACAATTTAGAGTATGGGCTTTAGATTGCGTGACTTTATTGTTAGCTAATTTCTCTATTTTTCACTCTATTTTGCATTTAAAAACATGGCAGTTGTGACTGTGGATTGCTAGGATTTCATTCGATGCTCATTTCTGTATTGTTGTGTGTTAATTCTTACTTTAGATATGCCGATTTATCGGCAAGAAACTACACTTTAATGATCGTACATCGCACTTCATCAAATCTTTACGACTATTTTCTATTTGTATTGCCGTGTGATATCAGCTCATATAAAGCTTAAGGCTCGGGATAATCTGTGATGTCAACACGGCCGACCATTCTACCATTTAACTATGTTTAGGTTTTATATTACGGTACTCTGATAAGGCAATTCGTATGTCGACTCTTTGATTATTCTATAGGATCCATCATGATAACTGTTTTTATATGAAAATGCCCCAGAGCAATGTAAATATCACCCAGCCATAATGACCTTTTCAGAAGTCAGTTTCAAGCCATAATGGTGTATAATCGCTATTTACTGGGAATTAATCAGAGAATGGCCCAATAACGAATCCATGATACAATAAATAGGCATTACGACGATTTATCTCCAATTGTATTGTTACGGTGTTGGCAGTATCGCCAAACTGGAGCGGCTAATTAAGCTCCATAAAAAACAGCTATATTTATAAAGATGACATAAAATGGACTTAGGAAAATTGACAAAAATAACCTTTATTCAGTTCGTGAATTAATTCATCCATCATGAGTGGTTTTTTATTGTAAATACTGCCATAAATTTGTGTTTTATCGTTTCATTTTGAGATCAACTTTAATTCCTTGTTTTACACGCCAAAAGGTTGGAATTAATATGGGGGGTGAGTTCAGTCGTTGGAATTACTGTCATAATAAAATAAGATTGTTGAGGAATGAATAATTTGGTGTTAGTTTATGAAAGCTTATCTCGCTTTAACATTTTGTGAGCTCAATTAAAAATGAGAGAATCCGTGTTCATTATTTTGTTTTATCACCGTGCTGTCCTGAACTTTTTAATTACGAATAATTTCAACAAAGAGACAACGCTCTGGCGATACATACTTGTACTCGTCTTATAATCCCAGTTAGGTGACACTTGCATAAGATAAGATAAATAAAAAATAAACTTGGTTCTAACATCCAGCTGGTAACACAATTCTACTGTCATTCTAAAAAATAATTATTTATCACAGAAATGGCTCATATAAAAAAGTCAAATGAAATGGTTCAGTTCATTGCTCTTTAAAATTTGAATGAAGTGTTTGATTTTCTTGCATTTCTATATAATTTAGAGTGTTCACTACATGCCTGTTTACTTTATTCCTTGCTAATTTCACTCTTTTCTATCCTATTTTAGATTTTAAAACATGACCATGTTTCTTTTGTCCCCCCAATCTTGACCATATTTTGAATTTCAAACACTACTCCTTTTATAAAACCCATATCCAGTCCCCCCCAGTAAATAACATGTATATATTTACAGATGATAACCGTAGCCCTAGCCCACCTTCAACACCTAGTCGTCTGCAGCAACAACAAGCACTACACAGTTTAACAGAGCGGGACGCTATCGCGATGGAAGCAGCGTCACGTGCGATGGAAGAAGCTACTCGTAAAATGGAAATGGCGTCACGTGTTGCACTAGAACGTGCAGCTGAACGAGCGACAAGTACAAATTCTAATGAACATACTTCGTCACATAAACGACCAAGCCCATCATGTAGTCCAAAATCTGAAGATAATAGAAAAAGCGACCCCGAAATTGATGAACCATCACCGAAAAAGATGGCGCTAGCAGAAGATGAAAGGTTATTATCACACGTAGGAATGAACAATGCCCATCTGAAAATTACAAGTCGAAGTAAGTATAGAAGGAGTTCACGTAAAATGTTATTGTATCCATGTTTCACCTCATTGTATCCATATTCCACCTTATTGTATCCATGTTTGATATTAAGTGGAATGAATGAAATGTGGATTAAACAAAACCATTACAGTACCTTATCTACTGTAACAATTGACGCCAAGAAATGAAATAACATGGAAATAACATGGAACAAGAATGAACCAAGTAACATTGTATTCATTTTTATTTTCATGGAAAAATGTCTCTTGTGTTTATTTGCTTTTATCTCTGACATTTTAACAACTATTTACGATTTTCTTTCCAAATAAAATCAAAAAATTCACTTTATTTTTTGCTGATGTCAAAACATGAACCTGTAATAATTTATTTATAGGTCACTGTGTTGATTGACTGTTCATTATAAAAAAGAAGATATAAATGGTCTCTGATATGTCCTGTTGACAAATTATAACGATTTGATCGCATGGAACATCGATGTTGGGATTCCCAATCTGATTAAGATCTACCAAATGGCGGAAGTACCAGCCACTTATTTTCCTGAATCTGCCGAAATTACCCATCTCCAAAGAAAATTTATCTACTAATTATATTAGATGTTGGCGGTGAACACGACATTTTAGATTGAATATTGGTTGCGTCCAATTTCTCTTTTTTGATCAATCAATTTATTTAATTTTTTCGAGCTTGAAAACATATGCTCTTTTGGCGAGGGTGATTTATCAAAAGAACTAATTAAAATTGCAAAATTTCTTTAGAAATGACCCATTACTTTTATGAATTTGGCCAAAAGCTGTAAATGGCCAAAGGGTTCGTTAACATCTAAAGTTATGTGAAAAATAAAACAAATCTTTGAACGTAAAGTCGTAAATTTGCATCAACTTGCGATTAATCACTTTGAAATAACATTGAAGATTTTCAACTCTTCCCTTTCAAAATATCCCTCGGAAAAACAATTGAAATAATTCTATGAATCGGAAATTATTATATGCTGAATTACCACAAGATCATTTTATATTTTAATATTATTCAGTTTTTATTCATATCTTTATATGAATGCATAATAGTATTGAATTTTAAGTGATTTTTATGAAAAAGTTCAAAATTTTGTTTTAAAGAATTCAATTAATCATTGCCCCAAATCTTATGTCGATGGATTTCCCGAGAAGCTTTTTGGCCTAAAGGTGATGTGTACAAATGAGCACATTAATTAGATAAAATTAGACTTTAATGACCACGTACCTTTCCCCTTTCTAGTCACTCCTAAACCGAGGGTTCACTATACAGATTAAGAACCAATCAAAATGTAATTAACCTTTTTGTTCAGATCAAATACACGTCCTTGACGAATACAGATTCACTTTCGGGATAATATTAGATCAATTTGTTCCGTCATTTGATTTATCCGATTTATTTTTCTTTAGTTGTTTAATACATATCTCCTCCATCAATATCTGTGTACTTATAAAAAAGATTGAAACTGTTACATTTTAAAATCCGAAATAGAGCCAAAATAGATTAATAAGAAATAAATAAAATATACAGTCATGTAGTCAACACTCTAAATTATATAAAAATGCAAGAAAAACAGACACTTTATTCAAATTTTAGAGAGAAATGGAGTGGAATTTGAATGCCTGGGGTGTCAATGTAATCGCAGAGATCAAAAGATTTGATAGGATTTCTATGTTCTGTAGGTGCAAATCCTGATCATTTGTTATCTTGTAGCATAAGATGTCACTCCGATTATTTTTAATGTCCGTCTGCTTTTGCAGATTCCTTTATTATTTCATTATCTTGTATCTGATCAGTATCTGATTTTCTTGCATTTTCATACAATTTAGAGTGTTCACCACATTCCCATTGACTTTATTCCTTGCTAATTCCTCTAATTTCTCTCTAAAATTTGAAAAAAGTATCTGATTTTCTTACATCTTTATACAATTTAGAGTGTTCACTACATGCCTGTTTACTTTATTCCTAGCTAGCTTCATACGTTTCTACTTTATTTTGTATTTTAAAACATGGATATCATTTTGGTCTCACCAACAACAGATTTATCAATTCAAATAGCTTGTAAATAATGAGTCTTCAGTTTGAGTAATGATAAGAAGTCTTCATGATGCTTCATTAATAAAATATCAATGAGGGTCATTATTATAAACATCAAATAAAGGCAAAAAGAGAGGAATTAGTGAGGAATAAAATTCACAAGTATTTTCGGAACACACTTAATTTTATCAAAATGAAAGAAAATGAGACACTTCATTCAAAATTTAGAGAGAAAATAGCTAAATATTGATGAGCAGATGGACAAAACAAATTTCCTGTGGCCTGATTTATTATCATCAATAACTCAAAGACTGCCTGTTTCTATAATTACGAGATATTCACTTGCATCCAAATCAAATCTTATGTTTAAGCGGAAATATTGTTATAAGAAATCACCCTAATTGACAGTTAAAAAATGACAGTCGTAAAAAAATTATTCCAAATTGAAGACCTTATAAGCCACTCATACCTTTTCCAGTTAATTTTTCTCTAAAATTTGAATAAATTGTCTGATTTTCTTTCATTTCTATACAATTAAGAGTGTTAACTACATGCCTATTTACTTTATTCCTTGCTAATTCCACTCCTTTTCACTTTATTTTACATTTTGAAACAAGACCATGTTTCTTTTATTGAGCCTGTATTCAGTTAACATTAATAATACCCAGACAAGGGTGAAATTTACATCGGACATTAAAAAATGAAAGTTTTATGGAAGTATCACATGAATAGATAAAAGGTAATCACCAGAAAATTTCATGACTTTCTTGAATGAAGATACTACTGGCCTATTAGATATCTTGATTAACTGGTTTCAAACATGAACTGAAAACTCTCAATAGAACAAACACGTCTTAGAGTGAGCATAAACACCCTTATATAAGTGAACACCCTCAAAGAAAGAAGGTTTTGAACATAGCTATAAGGCTAAACTCTTTAATTGAGTGTTGTTAATATCTTTAGCCAGTCTACAAGTTGAACTCCCTAAATTCAAAAATGTTAAAAAGTTACTTAAGTTTTAAGGACTGTTTTTGCTTATATTGGTTTTATAAAAAAACATATGTACGTGTATTGCACAGGAGATTACCATTTAACCAAAACTAGGATGATTTCAGTTTTATCAAAGTTAGAAAATAAACAATAAATGAATGAATAAATAAGTACCAGTTTATTTTTTGAATTATTAGATCTCTCTATTTGCTCCTAGTTATGATATAGACGTTATAAAACATCAATGCGCTGCTTGAACCATCGTTAATTAAACAGATACGAAGTTGTAAACCCCGCAGATGTATCTGATACAATAACAGAGCTTTATAAAAAACACGAAATAAAAAATCAAACGAAGAAAATTGATATGTTGCTATAATTGCATTAACAAGTGAAAGATAGATTTTTATGTATCAATTTAATTCTGCTATCATATTTATGGATGATGTTCCAAAGCTGAACTGGTACAAGATTACGAGAAATGTAAACCGATTCGCAGGTGCGCAAGGCTAAACAATATCTTCAGTTAATTGTATATAATTTATAATTTCACTTCCCCAGGCTACGACTTTTATAACGAGACCAAAAATCAAATATCAAAAAACTAACTGGTTTTATATTTTTTATTTTTCTAATTGAGACCTCATTTTGAGCTGTATTTAAATTTTTTATCAAAAGTCAATTGTAGTTGGTTTAATGGAATATTGCTCGAAGCAATATTTTCGGTTTCAGTTCTATTGAAACAAGAGAATCTCTTCTTGTGGTAGGAACTATCATTATATGCTTTTTATATCAACTATAATGTCTATAATGTCTTCACGAGCAATAATTTATCAGCACGGTCATATTTTAAAATCCAAAATGCAGCAGGAGAGAGTGGAATTAGCAAGAAATAAAGTAAATAGGCATGTAGTCAACACTCTAAATTGTATAGAAGTGCAAAACAATTATACAATTTATTCAAATTTTAGAGAGAAATGAGTGGAATAAGCATGAGCAGACGGACATTATTCAACGAGGGTAGATGACTCTATTAACTAAGATAAGGCACCTGCTTCAACTTGCACTAATGTCGTCTGCTCATGCTAATTACTCTCCATTTCTCTCTAAAATCGAATAAATTGCCTGATTTTTCTGCATCCTTTTACAATATAGAGAGTTAGTTTTATGTTTATTAACCTCATTCCTTGGAATTTAATTTATGGTTACACTTTTCTTCAGTTAAAGGTGTTTATATATTGGGTTGTAAATATATACCCATAATATGTGTGGTAATTTAGGTATACATATACAGAGAATATACAGTTATCTAAAAATAGAAATATATATATTCCAATTATCTATATAATTTACTTTGAATACAGTGGAGTTATATATTGTTTAAATTTCATGGTGATTCAGTTTAAAATCTATTTTTAAGAAATATCCATTTGAGCCTATTGTGATGCTTGAGAGTCCAACGACCTTTGGACTATAGCACTTATTCAAAAATTGACAAAAATCGTCATCATTATATTGATTAGAAACATGTACTTGTGGATATTACATGGTTATCTTTTTTATCAATGGGTGCTAAATCCTAATTTTATATTCCCTGTTTTGTCAAAAGAACTCAATATACATCATTTTTACATGGTGTAAACATATTTTCAACAGATCTACATGCCATTTTCACGCAGCACCCCATTGCACTAAATCCGGGGAGACATCGCAGTAATTTTGGAGATTCAATTTCAAAATTGAAATTGAAAAATGACTTCATGCACTGAAGAAATTAAGCCTGTTTCCAGTAATACTTAATGTCATGATTTTTAGCATTGATTTACTATCTGTTTTTACAATGCAGAGTTAATTATAGGTGAATATATCCCAATTTGCCTCGAGACAAATGACTGTGATTTAAATTATGCAGATCTCTTATTTGTTATAACTAAGAAAGACCTAAAGGCATAGTAAGGCATTAATATCACATAAAAAGACAATATAAAAATTAAATCCTTTCAAAGAATTTCAAAAACTTGGAATTGATTCAAATTCCTGTTCGTATACCACCCAAGTAAAAGCAACATCTCAGGGTCTACTGGCTAAATATACAAAAATATTTTTTATCGAAAAATAATTTTTGTGATTTTTTTTCGAGTGATATCATAATTATGTTAATTAGGAAGGGTGAATCCTACAGGTGGTTTTCTGATATCCCGTTACTTTAGAATTTTAATATGATCGTAAAAGTTTAAAATGAATTTTTGCTAGAGGCTTAAGTGATGTATGGATTATGTTAAAGTAAAAACATAATACAGTCATCTATAATGTGGTTATTAATGTCTTTGTGGTATTAACAAATCCCGACTTGTGAAATATTAGAAAAGTAGAGACATTTAAATGATTTTTTATAATTTGAAGAATGTATTTTGATTCATCTTCAGGATGTATAAAAGTGAATATACTAGAAGTGGTACTTTTGTTAGTAAGAATCATAGTACCTCTTTAATGTGTAGCCATATGGATCATAGTGCCTCTTTAATTATGATAGACAACAAGAAGAAAGAAATACTCTTTAGCTATCAATGGTTATAATGCCACTTTAAGATTTACATTGTTTCATACGGTAGTGGCACTTTAATATGAATATTTTTTTTCCATAATCATCATAGTGGTACTTTAACATTAGAGAAAGAGAAGAAATAAATATTTCCTATGAGCTGTCAATGGTGATAATGCCACTTTAAGATGTGTATTTTTTTCCATTTCTTAGAGTGATACCTTAATGTAAATGTGTTTTTATCCATAATCATCAAAGTGAAACTTGAACATAAGACTAAGAGAAAAAATAAATACTTGCTATAAGCTAACAATCGTCATAATGCCACTTATAAATGTACATTTTCTGTTTTGCATACTGACACTTTAATATGAATTTTTTTTCATTTTCATCATAGTGGCACTTTAACATTAGACAAAGAAAAGAAATAAATATTTGCTATGAGCTATCAATGATTAGTACATTTATAGTGATGGATATATTAGCCCCTAGTGATCAATTTAATGGTATTATACTTAGTGTTCAAAACGTTTACCAAAATGTCCGTCTGCACATGCTTATTTCACTCATTTCTCTTTAAAATTTGAATAAAGTGTCTCATTTTATGAGATATATACTAAATCTGAGGACTTAACTACATGCTTGTATATTTTTTTCCTTGTTTATTTCTCTAGTTTTATTAATTTTTCAATTTTGAAATGAGACCTCATGATTTTTTTAATGGGGGTCATCCACTTTATCTTTTGTGATACACCTGTTGAATGTAATTGAAATAGAAAATGTTTCTAATAATATTCATATCAAAATGAATGACAAAAAGTGTATTGTGAACAAAACAAGCAATAAAATGAACAAACAAACAAACAAGCAAGCAAACAAGCAAACAGACAAACATGCAAGAAGTCAACAGTCAAGATTGTAATAGTGTATTAAAAACGCAACATTTTGACACTTAATAATGAGTATTTCTGTATACTACTATTTTTAAATCTTAAAGATTTTGAAAATGTTCTTGTGTTTTTGTAAAATTGTATTTTTGCTGATTTTTATGTTTGCTATATTTTCAGGTGACGGGAAATCAGACTTCGACAATTCCTTAGTAATCAGCATGGAGATAAATGGTATAATGTATCAAGGGGTCCTATTTGCACAAGCTCCAAGAAGACTTTAAGACTCCTTAGAATAGCTATAAACTTTTGTAAATAATGTATCAATGGATGAAAACCCACACAAATGTAGATGAAACCCTCCCAAATAGGCCAAAACCTACCTAAATATGAATAATATGAGGAGAAAGTGTCTCTCTGTGTTAAAGGGAGTAACATATTCATGTCAAAAAACTGAAGTGAGAAGCGAGGGTGACTTATATGCCACCACTAAAAAGTAGCGACATATCGTTAAAGCCGCCATTTTTATGAATGGTGTTGGTGTCTATACGCAACAATTGTTGCACATTTGTATTTTTGAGTTAAGTATTGGTCAGATGCCTTGGAACTTATACTGAGAACACGTCTTCGAGTGTTGTAATTCTAAAAGTGATACATAGCAATATCTGTAACCATGGCAATGAATAAGGGGACTTTTGTGCAACCAGGTGATAACTGTTCGTTGTTTTTTTGTATTATTTCACCAGCATCTATGAATGTTCATCTCTCTGATTAGCTTGTATAATTCAAAATATGCCATCTCAGAATACAGTAAAACTTGTAAATTGAATACTATTTGGAACCTCTAAAATGTTTCAGGTTCATTGAACATTGATCGAAAACGTAAACACTATGTAAACTTTTCATTTAACTGAGCTGTTCCACTTACTGTGTCCCACTTAACAGTTTTTGCTGAAGTATGATATTTTTTCAATTAAAATACAAGTTATACTCTGAGATGAAACATTTTGAATTAAACATGATATTCAGCAATATGTCATTTGCCAACAAAAACAGTGGAATACAAATACTTAAATTGTCATCATCGTTATATTATAAACTTCAAATATAAGAAATGTTGCGAAGGAATTAGCAAGAAATAGAGAGAAAATACAGAAAATGCACACATTTAATTGTATTGAAATGTCAAAAAAAGGATGCCAATCACATTAAAGAGAGGAATCTTGAGAAATTACATTCATCTTTTGACATTTTAGCAAAAATACAACCGTTGATTTAGTTTGTAATGTGATTGAAAGATGGCAGCACATCCTAGTGCAAAATAAAAAAAGATGTCTGGATTTCTATTTTTCGTTGAGATCTTTGAGAATATTAGCAATTGAGTAATTGTTTTGGCAATACACAAGACCCGTGTTGTACATTTAAAAACACAACTGGTCATGTTTTTTATATGTGAAATAAAAAAAAATTAGTGAAATAAGCAATTAATAGTGAACAGTCTATGAAAAAAATAATTTGGACCATAGAGTGATAAGAGTGCTTAAATCCATGACAATGAATGATGTTTTACTGGAAACAGATGGATGAAGTATACGTGATTTGTGTCTCAGCTATTTTAGCCATTATGTGCATAATAAGCTATTCTATATTAGCTATCGTGTATATTATGAGTTATGAAGTATAAGCTATAACATATAATCTATTATGTATGTTATGGCTATCGTTTAGCAATGCATAATTTGAATCTATTTTTGTATATGTTTCTTACTGACACGATTTTTTGTTTATTTTATTTGATGAAACTAATTTTGATTGTACTGTTATTCATGTTTGGTTGCAAGAGACACAGTATTCAGTATTTAGACATTATTGTATACAAATATTGTGGACTGTAAAGTATTGTATACAATAATTTGTACAATCACATATGAATAGTGTATACAATAAAGAGATGTGTACTGTATTTAATAACTAATAAGAATTAAAGAATTTATTGATTAATTATTAATTAATTTAGAATTAAAGAATTCTGTTATGTGTAATTAAACGAACAAACAAACATGAATTTCAGTTGCACTAATTTTTGTGTACATTTTGAATATTATTATGGGAAATTTTTCATTAGTTAGATAAAAGTTTTGTTAAGAGTTTTTGTTGAACGTTACGAAAAGCTGGGGAATGTCAAAATTAGTATAAGTCCTATATAAGAGAAAATTTTAAAAATTGCCCAAAATTATTTAATGATTCTAGTAAAATACAGAAATTACTAAGAATGGGACATTTTTCACCAGTTAGAAGTTTTGTTAAGAGTATTTGTTGAAAGTTACGAAAAGCTGGGAAATGTCAAAATTAGTATAAGTCCTATTTATTATGAGAGAAAATTTTAAAAATTGCCCAAAATTATTTAATGATTCTAGTAAAATACAGAAATTACTAAGAATGGGACATTTTTCACCAGTTAGAAGTTTTGTTAAGAGTATTTGTTGAAAGTTACGAAAAGCTGGGAAATGTCAAAATTAGTATAAGTCCTATTTATTATAAGAGAAAATTTAAAAAAGTTGCCCAAAATTATTTAATGATTCTAGTAAAATACAGAAATTACTAAAAAAATCTGTTTTTGGCAAGATGCCAAGGTAATGTGTTCTGTATTTATGAGTAATTATTGAATAATGTTTAATTCAATGATAATTAACATGTATGGTGTTTTGGATGGTGTTCAATGGTTTTCAATGGAAATTAATGTTCAGTTTTAAAAACCTGTGGTAAGTGACCTCAGAAAACACCATATGTGTACATCTAATTAGCCAATCAAATCGCTGGGAATGTTGACCTCATTGAATAAGTATAAATATTGTGTACACACACTGACCATATTTTGCATAATACATAACATTTTGTGCAATGTTCACAGTTTGAGGAGAAAAATTATTCACTTGATCAAATGTCATATCAAATCTTTTACAATGTGATTGTTTATCTTTTATGGTGCCATTTCTTGCCATGCAATTATAGCTCGATAAAAAGGTACATGTTATATACCTTTTGAAAGATATGTTACATATTGCACCATAATAGGCAGCATTATTTGGAATTTGTTTTTGACTTTAAATGTGTGATCTATGAAACCATTTCATCGGAACTTTCTTTTACTACAGTGTAGCTGTTCTACGATATAAATGTTTCTTTAATGCCTTGGTCACATTTGCTCTGATTTTCACGACGGCGCCCAGCTGATTGAGTATTTTGTTCAAAATTGAATACAATATTGAACAAAACACTCAATCAGCCGGGCGCTGGCCGATGGATCGGAGCATCTGTGACCCAGGCATAATTTCTTTTCGTTTTACATGCACAAATTGATTTAATGCCACTCAGTTAGCTAGCTATGAACGTCTTTCCCCATTTCATTTTCAATGAACACTTTCAAATGGTATATCAATTCAACAGATACATATATATCTGTTTTCCCATTCTATTGTTCATTCAGCATTATGGTCAAAATGGCATTTTTATTTCCTGATTGAGTGGCGGGCAATGGGGGGGGGTTAGAGCCAACAGCCATGATGTATAGCAATTCATAAAACGACAATAAGAGAAGATATACAGTTGATGTATTACCAATGTACTTAAAATGTGTAAAAAGTGAAAAATATGTAGAGATGTTTAATTTTTACAAACATTACAATGTGCAGGAGATGTAGGAATAAATATGTACGATAGATGTCATGTTTGTTTGATGTCATCTGGTGGTTGACCATGTGGTGTGTGGTGCTATATGATGTCATGCATAATATGAGTATAAATGTGATGTCAGTATATGAGTAAATCATGACTTAATTATGTGATGTCATTTTTTATGTGATGTCATGTTTTATGTGATGTCATAACGGTGGATTATATATCTTGTATGATTTTGAGGCTTTCTTATTTCAAACTATATTGTATATATAGAAACTTTGCAGATGTTATATCAACATTTGCCACGTTGTCATAACGATGTGACATGATGTCATAAACATGTGACATGGTGTCATAAACATGTGACAGTGTGTCAGTGTTCAGGGAGATTATATCTGATAAATAAATACAGAGGAATGCAGTGAACCAAAAACTTATTTCTTTTGTTCTTTTCTTTTTATTTCAATTCTCTTGTTTTAATAAAACTTATTTAATTCAAACACCACTAAGGTGCCAAAAGTGTTCGGATTGGCGGGTGTTCACATTTCAAGTTTTTTAACATCGCTTATCATGGCATCAAAAAATGGATCAAAAGTGTTCACATTGCGATTGAGAGGTGTTCAGATATACAGGTTTTTACAATTCGTAGGTCAATAAAATGTTATTTACAAAATATTGACCTCAGTTGTATAGTAGTTAATACCCAGACCACTGCTGCCCAATGGAAAAATAGAAAATGTTTAGCCTATTTTATAAAAAAAAATTAAATCATTTTATTTAGACTAGGGTTTACAGCTTACACTATTATATCCCCTAGGGGTCTACATATAAAATTTTGAGATGTCATGCAATAGACCATGCAATAAATTTGTCCTTGACCTTTCACATTTATGATTTTAACCAATCGTTTATCCAGACTATACTCCTTTGGTTCTTTTGGGAGCCATATAAATCATACTATTCAAATACATTTTTTCTAGTTAACAAAATAAGAAACATATTTTGGAAGTGAGGATATCCGCATATTTTACAACATTTTCTAAAAATTAAACCTGAGACAATCAACATGAGACACAATTGAGCCTGACCATAGGAAAACCGGTCTTATCACAAAAATCTAAATTGTGCTACAGAACCGAAAATGTGCCCAAGATTAAGAGGAAAATGTGCTAAATTCAAATCCACCTTTTTGGTCTATATCTGCAAGGAAAAATTGTTAAGACACAAGCCATAGCTCATTTGAAAGGTCTCTCTGTGCTTTTTAATAAAAACAAAAAATCAAAACATTGAAAAAATCTGTGATAAGACCCCTTTTCCTGTGGCCTAGCTCAATTAATGAATTAGACACAGTGATGAATGGACAGCTCAGTTGGATTGAGGTCCTTGTGAATATGTTTGTTTTAAATGAATAGATGTCACCGGTTGTTGCAAGTTCTTGCATATTCACAATTTTTTACTTTAGTGCCATCTATTTAATCATCAATTATCCATTATTAGAGAAAACTTCATATAAGAGAAGCACTAGCCTTGCCTAAGTCGGTATTTTTTTACTTATCTGATCTTGAATTATTTAATAGAAATCAATATAACACACCCGGTGATCGTGAATATGGGACGGAGGGGGGGAGCAGGCAATTTCTGCTAGGAAATTCAACAAATCTGGAAGATTTATTTTTTCAAGAAAAAGTTTACTATTGAATTGCTAAATGGATAGGCGCACGGTATGGTAGAATATGTTAGGTTTTCTGGGATTTTTTTCTGAAACGATACGCATCTAAGGTATGAGATCTATTAAAAAAGGCGCAAGGCCATCAACAGGCACGAATCAACGTTTTTGCTATAAATCAAGCAACAATGGTCTGGACGACCTGTAATAAATACTTGTAAGTGATGTTATCATAACTAAATTAATGTCATTGCTGAATTTATAATTTAAGTTTCCATATGTGGAATAAAAATAATCTAAAATAATGAATTTGGGACGGAGGGGGGGAGGGGACGGAGGGGGGGAGCAATATGTATATAAGACATGATTAGAGATGTTTTGCGACTTTAAGTCCTTTTACTCCAAATGTCCCCATTTTTCAGTCTCCAGGGGTATATCATCCAGTTTCTTACTAAGTTAATGAGTTCATTTTTCAAATACAAGAATTCGTGTGAAGTTGTTTCACTTTATAGAATTATTACTCCCCCCCTCCGTCCCCTCCCCCCCTCCGTCCCATTTTAATTATTTTCGATTATTTTTTATTTTACGTATGGAAACTTATTTTATAAATTCAGCAATGACATTAATTTAGTTATGATAACATCACTTACAAGTATTTATTACAGGTCGTGTAGTCCATTGTTGCTTGATTTATAGCAAAAACGTTGATTTGTGCCTGTTGATGGCCTTGCGCCTTTTTTAATAGATCTCATACCTTAGATGCGCATCGTCTCAGAAAAAATCCCAGAAAACCTAACATATTCAACCATACCGTGCGCCTATCCATTTAGCAATTCAATAGTAAACTTTTTCTTGAAAAAATAAATCTTCCAGATTTGTTGAATTTCCTAGCAGAAATTGCCTGCTCCCCCCCTCCGTCCCATATTCACGATCACCGGGTGTGTATAAGTAAAGGAGACCGACCTGGGCAAGGCTAGAAAAGCACACATATTATGTAATATGTGAAATGCTAAACCAGATGAGAAATATGAGATTTCTTGAAATACATTAAATGGTTCTAAGGTCTGATATCACAGTTACTGGAGAGGTTAAGCTAACGATGTTTTTCACAACGTAACCGTGAACGCAAAGTACAAAAATTAACAAAGGAATGTATCGAGCGCTCATAGTTTTATGCGCGCTTAGTCTACTTCAGATACTCTTTCAGCGTCAGAGTTTCGGGTTTAGAACGGGAGATTTGACTATTTGACGTTGGGTCAACGGGAACCATTTAACTCGTGTCTATTAAACACTATGCTGTCAATTTTGATTTCGATGCACAGTTGAATTCTTGCTGAACACGATGATGTATGTCATGCATGATTTAGCGCCAAAAATCTTACGAAACGAGCTCGTTTAAAATATGTATTAGAAAACCAGCTATAAAACCGCATCAATGACATACTATAGAATCATTACACGCTATGGTGTAGTCTAAACAAACACTGGATTTGAACGGCTATTTATATGAGAAGGCTACATGAATTTGTATATGGTCGAGTGATACGTACAGGTTCAGTTTCGATTATATATGCAAAGCTTAACCTCTCCACTATCTTCTTCAGGCCTGTAGCCAGGATTTGCCAAGGGGGGGGGGTTCAGTTTTCAAAAATTTCCAGGGGGGGTTCACTTTTGATAATTTTGGTCCAAAGATGGCCAAAATCACATAAAAAGTGCTCAGAATGGTGAAAAACTGCATGATTTTTCCTGGCTACGGGCCTGGAAGAACATGGCTTTATATTTGACAGTTATAAATTGGATTATGTGGCACCTTCTAAAAATTGAGATATGGGCAAAAAGCTAATATCATTTTTACTTGTTTTTATTAGCTCGAATATTTTCAACAATTGTCGGTTCCATCTTCCTTTTATACTCCCATTTTTTCAAAAAATCCAGATTCTTTTTTGTAGGGAGTAAAATTAGGATTTGGAATTCTGGGAAAAGTTTCCATCATTTGGATACCATATTTAGAAACAACAAAGTTCAAAACGTTCATACATTACAGGTGTATATTTACATTTTATTTACATAAAATTGATTATATCTATATATATATTTACATGTACATCAAGGTCGGTATATAATATGTATCAATTCATATCTTACACATTTACAGTTCACGAGTACCCCAATAATAATATGGAGATTATCTTCCAATAAGAAATATATATAAAATGAGATATCAACCTTTGTATAATATATTACACAATGACTGTATATGATTTATACAAAATGAATTGGAACAATACTGTATACAATATAATTTCCATAACAATATTGTACACAATACAATTTTCCATATTGTATACAACAATTTTTTTATAACAATATTGTATTCAATACAATTTTCCATAACAATATTGTATACAATGCACAATAAAATTGTTAAACATTATTAAAAAAAATTCATTGCCACGAACCAAGAATTTTGCATTATCAAATTCACACATGGCTAGCACATGCATTGGTATCTTTCAAATTCACTACTTTTTTCTATACATTATTGGGGGAGTGTATTCAACTTTTGAAACAACTGCAATATTGTAACTATAGTGACATTGGTTACAATAGCTAAAGTTGCTACTTTGTTTACTTCAGACTAGATCATAAGGCGCCATATCAAAATGTTTACACTACGATTTTCAGATAATCTACTTATCAATAGGGATGGGACGGTTCGTTTCGGTTCGGTTCGGTTTTTCGGATCATCAGCCGTCGGTTCGGTTTTTTCGGTTCGGTTCATTCATTTTAAGGATTTGTATTGATTGACATGATTAGCTGCTTTGTCTGAACTTATAACAATATTTTATAGATTGAATTTTATGTTATAGTATTTCATGAACAATACATATTATTTAGAATACACGACTAAAGAATATAGTACCAGGGACCACATGATTGATTACCGAGGGATACGAATACGCGGATACGAAACGAATCTTGTAAACGAGTGAGCTAGCAACAGACAAGACAGACAAGGTAGGGACTAGGAATATCAAAAATGTTGCTGTAAAACAGTGTTTTTAACTGTTTTATTGATACTTGACCAATGAAATATTAATCCGAAAACGATCCGAAAAGCTGATCCGAAAGTAGGGCCGTGATCCGAAAACCGATCCGAAGGCTATGAACCGCGGTTTTTCGGTATTTCGGTTATCCGTCCCACCCCTACTTATCAACTGATAGATAAACCAATTACCTTCATTTAATACATAAAATCTTAACAACTTCATGTTAAAACAGACTTTTTGGAAAAGCAATTCATATATGATTTTCACATGTTTTCACAATCAAAAATGATTTTCACATGTTTTCACAATTAAAATTGATTTTCACATGTTTTCACAATCAAAAATGATTTTCACATGTTTTCACAATCAAAAAAGATTTTCACATGTTTTCACAATCAAAATTGATTTTCACATGTTTTCTCTATCTTCACATGGTTCACAAATAAAAATGATTTTCACATATTTCCACAATTAAACTGATTTTCACATGATTTGAAATGGATTATGTATGAAGAGATTGCATTTCCCTCTTTGATCATTAACTCAATGCTGACCAATACCGAGATATCTCGTCTGTGACATCATAAACGTATCTGACCAACCCCGCGATATTTCAGAGTTGCTGTCCAATAATTGTTACACAATTTGTCGCAATTATCTTACCAAATATTGTAGGGGTCACTCGGGGAACACGGTTGGGTGGATTGAAATATATTGTCGATACAATCCATTGCAAGCTAATATGAAAACATGCCATTTTGTTTGATTTTTCACCAGTAGAAAACCTCCAAAACAGCTTTGGCCAGCAATGAATTAATATGTTATATGTATAAAGGCTTTATTCCATTGGCAATTATTTTTGGCTCTTACATATTTACAGTTATATATAATGTTCTTTATTGGCTCATAAATTCACTCTTTGTAGTATTAATACATGACAATGTCGCTCAGTCTTTCTATTAAAACTCTATTTTGGCTAACCAGATTAACATGTTCATTGTTCATCCAGTCTTATGTAATTTATAGTTCTTCAAAAACATGCACGTAGTCTGTATATTAAGCTAAAAGTCCACTTATTTTGATAAAAAGTGGATTCCATTTAACATATGAATTTATTATGAATTCATGACACTAGGATCAATCCTTTAGTTGGCACATGGATTTATCATTTTGACACATGGATTAATCCTTTCGACAGAAATTAATCCTTTTGACACATGAATTAATCCTTTTGACACATGGACCAATTCTTTTGACACTGATCTACTCAAGTGACACATGACTCAATTCTGATCTATAATTTTGACACATAGAACTGATCATGGACACATAGATCCTTGGTTGCATCTACACTTTCTGATGACACTCGAATCAGTGACTGATGACACATGGATCCACTCATACCATAGGGATCCAATCCTTGAATCGGATCAAATGATTCAGATCCCATATCATGTACCAGATTATATGAATACATCATTTTGACCCATGAATCCTTGTTCCCTTGGACCCATTCTCTTAAAAGTCCCATAAGCTTGTATGTCCTACTATACATTCGTTGAAAGCCGCATTAGAGTTGACACGTCCTCCTGTATCGGAGACCTTGGTGGTGGGCGTTTGTCCATTGATGAATATGTATTTTGAGGGGCGGAAAAGTCTCTGGTTGCTAAGGGAAACTCATTGTTTGGATTTGGATTTGGATTGTTGACATGGTTACCATTAGGAAGGTAATCAGGTCCATACCCAGAATCATACCTGAAACATAAGATTTATTTTATTTACTTTTTTTTATATCAATATTCCATGATCTTCCACTAATTGCCCCAGCCCACTCGTAACATTATTTTTAATTTGTTTCTTGCTAAAAACACTGTAATTTATTTGAAATATCAACAGTCCACCTTCACATGTTGAATCAATTTTCTAGTCTCACGATGCTAGAGTGAACTTTAACTCACCTATTTAATGATTTGCCATTAGGTTCAGAGAATCCAGCGTCATGGTAATCTCTATAATCTCTGTAGTCATTACCACGGTTACTATCCATACCATAACCATAATTCTTTTGAGGGCCCTCCTGAAAAAACAACAACAGGAAAATGACTGTTAATCTAGATCTATATAATGAGAATTCTTCAGTAATTTTCATGATTTTTCTAACCAAAAATTAGTGAAACAATTAACATTTTCCATATTTTAAGTGAGCCCAGAATGCAGAACTTCATATTACTTATATTGCAAACAAACAAAACAAACAGACAAGCAAATGGGTAAACAAGCAACTTACCTTATTAGTGGAAGCATAGTTGAGTTCTGCGTATTCATCAGAATATCTAAAATAGCTTTTATCCGCATCGCTTCTCCATGGTTCTACTTTGTCCCCATAGGTGGCAGGCTTGTACACAACGCCATCTATCTTGCCGGCAACGCTGGCATCATCATCATCTAAAAATGATGAAAATATGAATGAAATCTAGTTTTTTGGGTTTTCAAAATTCATATGGTTTGGAATGCCATCACAGCTAGTGCTTCTTGTATTTCAATGTATTCTGAAAATGATGATATATCGATGGTATACATTGTTCTTCACTAATTATTTCTATGAAAAGTGGTTTGCATCCTAAGTATAACATAACCTGCCATTTGCCTCCAAAAAGGGCTTTATTTATCAAAATTCATAATTGTAAAATATGAGATATTTACTCATTTTGTTCATAATGGTCCATTCAATTCATAATATGATATGAGGCAATGGATTGAAATATTATATGGACTGCAGATACATTAATATGTTTTGTTTTGTTTTTTTTATTAAAATATTTATTCACAAAAAAATTAATATGTTTTATGGACAATTCTAATAGGCAATATGATGGTGAGGAGAAAATGCATATAATATTTCAAATAAATAGCAAAGAACAAGCATTCAAAACCTTTATCAAAATAAGTTGAAAATGTGTGCTTTTAATTTAATTTTAACGGGAATGGTGTCTAATGGGAATGGGAACATTTGATAAACTTTAAACGGAAATGGCAGCTAATATGTTAAATGGAAATCGTAATTGTAGATTGGCTGTATACTAATTTTTTATTTTTTTTTATTTTTTATTTTTTAGACTAATACGCCCTAACATACTGTTCCTGTGTTCACTAGGAGAATTAAAGGAGGTGCCTGTATAAAACATATATGAAAAACATTCTACTGAATACTATAGTCTGGAACAACATATACACTAATTCTGTCTTGAAATACAATAAAATATAACATTGTGAAAACTTAACTTGGTGGAATGTAGGTACAACAAAATATTTGCAAAATATTAGTGTGAGAAATATAAAAATACGAAACTATTGAAAGTATGTGATTAAATCTATTTTTAGATTGTGCTGCATTCAATAAATTTGTATGCCCACATGCTGCCATCTATAGAGTGTTAATGCTAACTAAAACTCTGTAAATGAACAATAATTTAAAGGTGTTTTCATTGGAGGTGTTCACATAAATATGTGTTCACATTAGACCTAGAGGTGTTTATATACTCACCAACAGGTATCAGTGCAACTATTTGGCATTAATTCAAATACAGGGTGACCGTTGAATATAACAGGGTAACTAATAAGGTACAGGGTGTCCATTAAGAAATACAGGGTGTCCATTAAGAAATACAGGGTGTCCATTAAGAAATATAGAGTGTCCATTAAGAAATACAGGGTGTCCATTAAGAAATACAGGGTGTCCATTAAGAAATACAGGGTGTCCATTAAGAAATACAGGGTGCCCATTAAGAAATATAGAGTGTCCATTAAGAAATACAGGGTGTCCATTAAGAAATACAGGGTGTCCATTAAGAAATATAGAGTGTCCATTAAGAAATACAGGGTGTCCATTAAGAAATACAGGGTGTCCATTAAGAAATATAGAGTGTCCATTAAGTAAAACAGGGTGCCCATTAAGTAATACAGGGTGTCCATTAAGAAATACAGGATGTCCATCAAGAAATATAGAGTGTCCATTAAGAAATACAGGGTGTCCATTAAGAAATACAGGGTGTCTATTAAACAGGCAATGCGCCTATTTTTGAAGGAAAAGGACAAAATATTATTTGAGACATGTCACTCACACAGTCAATCAAATATGATAAAAACTTTTATTTGGAATAATACTGATGTGAAAAAAAAATTACTTGCATAGAAAACAGCATTTGAAGTTCAGAGATTGAAAAAAGTGAATTACCACTTTTCACAAAGTGTATGTTTTAAATAACTCTTGGATTAAAAGATGGCGTATGCTTGAAAATCCTATCAAAAATGAATGGATGATTAATGCAAACAATAATGCCATCTTTCTATCGCATTGCTAAAAAAATGGACATATAAAAAATTGATAGATCAAAAATATTTTTTTATGACCTAGTGTCAATTCTGATGTGGTCTGTTTGAGCTGTTTTTGGTGTCAAATGAAAGATCAGGTACTTATTTATCCATTGGAAATACTATGAAGATTTAAAGTGAGACTTCATTTACGCACCTTATCCCTTTAAGAAATACAGGGTGTCCATTAAGAAATACAGGGTGTCCATTAAGAAATATAGAGTGTCCATTAAGTAAAACAGGGTGCCCATTAAGTAATACAGGGTGTCTATTAAGAAATATAGAGTGTCCATTAAGAAATACAGGGTGTCCATTAAGAAATACAGGGTGTCCATTAAGAAAAAGAGAGTGTCCATTAAGAAATACAGGGTATCCATTAAGAAATACAGGGTGTCCATTAAGAAATATAGAGCGTCCATTAAGTAAAACAGGGTGTCCACTTAGTAAAGGAAACAGTTACTCTTAATAAATTGTGCAATCATTAATGCTAAATTGCGCTCTTTGATTCAGAACAATCAAATCCATGATTGTGCTTTCAGCCTTGGAACAACCAAATCCATGATTGTGCTTTCAGCCTAGGAACAACCAAATTCATAAAATCCAAGATCAGAATTTGGTAAATTAACAATTCAGAAGCTAAAAACAAAATGTTAGCCCCATATTTACATATAAGTGATATATATTCTCAATCAATGCATTTTTCTAGATCGATACATTACATAAATAGTTGGGGCTAGACATGTTGTCCTTGATTGTCATGGAAATGTATTTGAGGTAACATACCTTTAGGCAGTCCCCTCTTACGCCTGATGACACAATAGATGATTCCCACGATAACTGCAATGAACACGATTCCTCCAAGAACACCAGCCAGTAGGTAGATCAGGGGTACGCCCTCTAAAATAATTAAATAGTATCATTGTAGCATTGAGATATTTTAATGATATTATCCAAGTATCAAAATAATTGTATTATATAAATCAATTACCAAGGTAATTTAAAATATTATCTTAGTATCAAAATAATTGAATAACTTTCTATAAGTGTAAGGTATCATCAAAAGCTCGAAAACCATTTCACAAATCTTAAATCCAAGTAACCAATTGCAATGAATGCACTTATTCAATTTCAATTGCAAGTAGAAATATAGATGGCGTACACATAAAAGACCATTACTCCTTCTAGATCTCATTTCAATTTACTTCTCAGTGTTGCTTTGTTAAATCTGGCTCATAATGCTTTATTACAAAATTGCAAAATGTGTGTGCAATCAATTGTATTTTGTACAAAATAAATCCTATATACCAGGTATTTAAACCAAGACACATGGTGATAAATGTCACAGTTTTTATCGAAAAAATTAAAATGGCCACCAAGTAATTTACCGAGCAATCAAACTGAACAGGAATGCATTTTTCTTCCAAATCTTGACGACTTTGAAAAGTGTCATAAAAATCATTCCACACAAACCTTTTTCTACTAAAGCTATCAGTCGCATGTCTTCCCCATAACCATTTGACACGGTACAATTAAATTCTCCAAAATCTTCCGATGAAACACCCTCGATCTTCACGATGCTTTTACGTAAAGTTGGTGTGTCCTTCTCGATGAGAGAATAACGTGCTGTGTTGGTGAAATCTATCGGAGAGCCATCTTTAAACCATTTGATTTCACTTGGCTTTGGAACAGATTGGGCAGCACATTCTATGAGTGCTTCGCTACCTGACATCGCAAACTGTTCGTCTTCACTTTGGATAATAGGTGGCCCTGAAAATCATTAATATATCACTTTAAACATAATGTGAAACATAATATACATATACATGTATTTACGTTTAATCTCTTTTAATATCTAATGTATTTCCTCAGCCTTGGCTTGCACCCACCCACCTATTATGCAGCGAGTTTCCAACCCTGAGTGTTGACCACCAAATGTAACACATAGTGTGGACTCTTCTCAATTTTTACACTCAGTTTTTCTGGTTAAAATTTGAAGATTGTTTCTGATGAATTGGAGTGCCTTGATTCATTTTCAAATGTTCAGAACTATGAAAGATGAGTGAAAATTCCCACTGCTAATTAAGTGTAATTAACAGTGAATTTTGTTGATGCATAATTAATTGGAATCTAAACTCTGGTCAGTTATACAGGGCATAGATGCCTAAGATCCCCAGCTAAAATATCCGTCTGCTCATGCTTATTTCACTAATTTCTCTCTAAAGTTGGAATGAAGTGTCTCATTTTCTTGCATTTTTATACAATTCAGAGTGTTAACTACATGCCTGTTTACTTTATTCCTTATTGTTTTCACTCATTTTCACTAAATTTTGAGTTTCGAAATTTACTCATCGTCGTTTTATAAGAAGGTGAATTAATTGGCTGTTTTAAATCAATGATAATTGAACAAATGGATTTCTTGTAAATGACATCATACTTTGAAATTCAAAATAGAATGAAAAAGAGTGGAATTAGCAAGAAATCACAAAAACAGGCATGTAGATAACACTGTAAGTTATATAGAAATGCCAAAAAACAGACACTTTAGTCAAATAATTGCAAGAAATTATGAAATAAGCCTGATTAGAAAGAACATTTTTGAAAACTATTTCTTTAGTCTTTGCACTCAGGAAGGAAGCCACCTAACTTCAGAATTCCAAGGATTTATCTATTTCTGCCTATTTCTATAGATCTGAACATATCAAAGTGAATACAAGGGATTTTTTGCTTTTATTGTTTATTTCCCTAATGGGGCACCACATGTGTGCAAACCCCTAATGGGGTGAAGTGTCTCTAGTAATTTTCCCAGATCAAAAAAACTATTCATCTTCTTTATAGTAGTTTGTAATAAATGTTTTTTCATTTGGTTGTTATGTTGTATTTAGACAGTTCAACTTAATATCATCTTGATTCACAGGATTTCAGTTGCTCCACCTTGGAGGAAGTTGAAGAAGTCAAAGATTTATAGACTTGGAAAATTCAAAGACTTGCAACTTTTAAATCCATCATCCTAATTTAAATACAAGTTTATTCTAAACTTTTTCTGAAACAAATCTCATACTTAGACCTAATTTTTGAGTTAGAATATTCTTTGTTTTTGTTGGAACAAAAAACTGCTGTGTGTAGCATGTAATTTGTTATGAATTTGTTATGAACATAGGCGTAGCTAGATCGCACCCCCCCCCCAACCAATGGAAATATAAGCGGGAGAATGAGGAGGATAAGAGCTTCAAAATGCTTTTTATTTGAAGCTTCTAGCTCAATTTTGGAGGAAGTTGCATCAATTTTTGTAAAATTCAAAATAAACCTTTTTTGGCTTGTTTATGCCACAATCTCATCCCCCTTGACTGAAAACCGAAAATGTTTTGGTGATCGCACCCCCCTGATTTAAATGCTGGCTACGCCCCTGAAGAAAATGATTCATTTAAAAAAAATGAAATGTAGAAAATAAAATTCATCTTATATAAGCCTATCAGTTGAGAGAGACAAAATGTGGTGTTCCATATACATGTATAAATTATATTTACTTAATACATACCATTTTTCATGAGAAACACATCCGTTGAAATCTCATCAAATCCAATCACAGTTGCGGCACACGTATACACCCCAAAATCACTTTCTCGTACATTTGTTATCGTCATCTTTGAGGCACTTCCTCTGATTTTATTTGACCCCTTTCTCATCCAGATGATTGTTGGTGGTGGGTTACCCTCTACATTGCATTGGAGCGTGGCATCTTCACCTACATCTACTGCGGCATGTTGGGGGTTCCCAGTGAAAAATGGACCATCTAAAATAAAAAATAAATGTTAACTGAATTTGAAAGCCATTTCAGTAAAATGCATGACAGTCAATTATTTTTTATTCCTAAATAAACACTGAATTTGGTGCATTTTTGAAGTCCATCAAATTCACCAAATTATATTGGTATTTGCAGGTCAGAAATTTTATCTCAGTCGATTTTAAAAATCTAACCAAAGTTGAGTACACGTATTCTAAAAAAGAAAGCAATGTGAATTATTTCCGCGTATTGTTAGGTAAACAATCTAAAATTAAATGTATCACATGATCCCACAAATAAAATTTCATTGGTCGGTTGCTACATGTCAATGAATCTCCGTTTACTATAGCCACAATAAGTGTTGTTTTTTTATTATATTTTCAGTTCACTTATATTTCCTTGATATTGAAATAGTACAAAAGAATGCCTTTGTTAACTTAATAACATTAGCGGCATGGTGAATAAGTGTGACATGCCATTTTAAGTATTTTATACCCTGATGGGTGGCATACGCCTTTTACACTGGCACAAGTGGATCATCAGATTATTTGAAACCATCTATGATTAAAATATATTTTGATCAGTGTTTATTCACTTTTTATGCTATAAAATTTGAATGAAGTGTCTGATTTTCTGAGATTTCTATACAATTTAGAGTGTTAACTACATGCCTGTTTACTTTATTCCTTGCTGATTTCACTCTTTTCACTATTTATTCATTTTAAAACAGACCACCATGTGCTTTTTCTAATATGGGTGATTCAGAATGACACATTGATTTCAGAGATTCAGTTTCGTGAATCGATGGGGGGCGTGTGTCACTTAACTCGAACACATTTCTCCACTTCTCAATATTTTGAAATTGAATCTAAATCAAGGAACGGACTTAATTTCCCCCTCCCGAAATAAATGTACTTCCATTCATGCTTTTCTTGGAAAATGCAAGAAAGGCGAGGAAAATAAATGAAATTCAAGAATAACTAAAAATGTAATAAAACCAGAGCTATTTACTTTATTTTCAAGCATGAAATAAGAATGATTTTGGTAAAAGATGATGTTTTTTTGATAAGAGAAGATTAAAATGGTCATGTTCTATAATATAAAATAGAATCCAAAGTAGAGAAATTAGCAAGGAATAAAGTGAACAGGCATGTAGTTGACGCTCTAAATTGTATAGAAATGCAAGAAAATCAGATACTTCATTCAAATTTTGGAGAGAAACCGAGTGAAATAAGCATGAACAGACGGACATTTTCTACATAGGTGCTGTTTAAGGTTAAGAGGGATCTGCTTTTTTATCAATCAAATACACTTGGAAAAATATTGGGTTTATTCGAATTTGACTGACATGGCCACCTTTAAGATATGCAGCTATCCCCCAAAATAGTAATCTCAAATCCCTATCAAAATAGATGAATCGTCAAGGAATTAAGAAAAACATGAACTCAAAGAGCATACTCTATTATGTAAAAGGGTTTTAAAAAATCTGACAGTTAATTCAAATTTAAAATGAGAGAAAATAGAGAAATGGAAATAATTTTGACTTTTTTGGGACGGCCAGACTGTGATCTCTTATGAGGTTAAGTCACCCTGCTACCCAACTATGTATTGTTTTAGGAAAACCATACAGACAATATTTTATCAACAGTAAATGAGGAATTTCTGATATTTTCCAAGATATGCCAACGTTTGTTATTAATAACATTTCATGCCGACTACAAAACCTGTACAGATGTGGAAATCAATTTTAATGGGCTGCCTAATCATTTCCATAACTTTATAAAAACAATCATGATCTCTTTCTGAATCCAGATAGAATTTTCCCAACATTGATAACCATGGAAACTGAAAAGTTAAATCAAGTAACAGTTTATATAAACAAAAATTGCAAAGATTATTTTCTCAGTTTTTGAACTTTGGCATTGATTCAAATCATACTTAACTATGAAAAATGACTTTGACCCAATCAACTTTAAAATATAAAACACTTTTTATGCATTTGCTACAGAGACTTGTTTCTGTCTTATTAAAATGAATTTAACAGAAAGGTCAAAATCTTAAGTTTCAAACAAAATTCTTACAATTTTATGTAACCACTTATCTCTTAATTTTGAAAGAAGTGTCTGATTTTCTTGCATTTCTATACAATTTAGAATGTTAACTACATGCCTGTTTACTTTATTCCTTGCTAATTCCACTCTTCTAGACTATATTTTGCATTCTAAAATATTAACATCAAGACATCTTGTTTGTCTTTGTTTTTCTGAATGTTACCCCATGTTCAGTCTCATAATTGGTTTCTCAGGTTTAAATTTAAACAAGAGTCACAAATGGAAAACAATATCACAACAATTGTTTCACTATATGACAAAAATTCTCCAGATTTGATATTTAGTCATGCTACTTGACTACCCACTCATTTTTTCCAGGACTTCCTTGACGTTATTCAAGAAACCGCAACAAATCAAGTTTCACGCACTGGTTTCATTAAAATTTCCTTTCGAAACTGTTCATTAATTTTTTTCAAGCTATGCTTCCTGAATAACAATCTAAATTATATTTCCAAGGTTTTTTAATAAATTAAAATGTCCGTCTGCTTCATGCTTATTCCACTCATTTCTCTCTAAAATCTGAATAAAGTGTCCGATTTTTTTGCATTTCTATACAATTTAAAGTGTCGTCTACATGTCCCAATACTCAATTCCTCCATTATTCCACTCTTTTCCATTCTATTTTCCATTTTCAAACATGCCCTGCTCACCATGACAATGTGAAAAGGTTCAACTTACATTCGACATTGAGCAGGAAACTTTGTTTGCTACTGCCTACAGAGTTGGTGGCCTCACATGATATTTTCTTTCCATGTTTGGATTTGTCAATGTTTTTCAGGGTAAAGTGGTCCTGGGAAGAATCGGGCAGTTCTTCCATATCCTCAAACCACCTGGAAATAAAAATCATGCATTTATATTTAGCTGTATTATTTAAATTTATTGCCGTAAATGTGTGCTATACTTTGTAAGACAGGCCCTTGGTGATTTCAGAAACATAAGGAAGGATGGGAGGGAAGGAGGAGTCTAGGGGGCCGACTTTTTAACAGATTTCCCTCTTTTATACAGGGCTTAACATGTATGACTTATCCTGACAGACAGTAGGAATGTTATAAAATCTATACCTATAGCCCTATTTTTGGGGTTTCTTTTCATAACATCACATTATAACCCCATTCCCTTTATAAAGATCATTAAATTTTTCAGGGGCTCTTTTTAAATCAGACAAGAGCTTGACGATTTATATTACACCAAGATGTTTAAGTCCCTTTCTTAACATATCCGTCTGCTCATACTTAGACAACTAATTTCACTCAATTTTTCTCCAAAATTTGAATAAATTGTCTGATTTTCTTGCAGTTTTATACAAATTAGTGTCTCAACTACATGCCTGTTTACTTTATTTCTTGTTTTTCCACTTTATCATTCACTAATTTGTTTTTTAAACATGACCCCTATGTCACTGAACATACAGGATTACATCCAAAACATAATGTTTACTCACAGATTCAAATAACTAAAGAAAACAGATCCTGAATCAAAGAACACCATGTGATTGTACTTTAGCCAGATATCAATTTTTGTTTGGTGAGAAGAAAACTTGTTGAAATTTACATCTCTGGTCTCTTCTCTGTGAATATCAAATTGAACATTTTCAAGAGAATTTTTGGGGGATTATAGTACAGGAAAATACTAGGAATTACAGTATGAGTTTAAATGGCAGTATTTAAAGGCCCCATGTAAAGTTTGAACCATTTCTTACATTTTGCATTGGGCCTTTAAGGGAGTTGATCGGGTGAATTAGTCCTGAATTAATCTAGACACAACAAGGAATATTGCTGAAAAAACAGATTTTGTTTTTACATATTTCCAGATGTATACCCATCAAGGCTAAATGGAGGGTGGGAATATGCGGGGCTTTAAAAATTATATTTGAAATATTTTCGAGTCAAAGTAACTCCATCGCTATACTTACTTCCAAGTTATTGTATTTGGGTTTCCTTCTGCTTGGCATTTGAAATTAACACTTCCACCTTCCTTCATCTCACGATTCGGCTCTACCGTCATTGATACCTCAGGGGCGTAAAGCACTTCAAGCGAGCCTCTGGTCTTTTTGGGGGCAACTGACACCAGTGCCTCATTTGTAGCCTGGCATTCGTATGTCTTCCCCTGATCTCCCACAGTTGGTGTTATCTCGAGCGTTGATACCACGTTTTCCCGTTTGCCATCTTCATGTTGTGTCGTGACTGTATGAATATTTCCAGTGATTAGTTCACCATCGGTGTACCAAGAGATTTTGGCTGCAGGTTTTCCATTGTTTGCGGTACATGTTAGATTTACTGGTTGTGTCGCGGTTACTTCAACGTTAGGTTCGCCATCTATAGTTGGCTCATCTGGGGGAACTGAAAAATAAAAAATCATTCAATTGCCACATTTCAAAACAAAGTACAACTCCTTTTTTGATTCTTACAGAAACTCCAATCATTAATGTTTTAAACTATTCTATTTTTATTTTATTGAATTGACAAATTAATTTTCATTTCATTTTTAACCAAATTTCTATCAACGATTCAATAATTATCCTCACAACATTAATTCAATACAGGATAAAAACGTTGTCCGTTTACGTGCCTAATCTTGTGACAACTTTAGAACATAACTCTTACCAAATACAGTAAGCTTGGCCGCTTCGCTTCGTAATCCAATCGTGTATTCTGTAGGTGTCACCTGACACTCCCATACACCGTCATCCATCAACTGCGCATTTGAGATCATTAAGTTGTATTCACCTAGAATTGAATTGACATCATTGTATTGAAATCATTGTATTGACATCATTGTACTGACATAAAGCAATAATGTACATAACAGGGAAAACTAATCATTCTTGAAAACCATCATCCATTTGAGAATAAATGTCATATTCACTTTGGAAGAGATTCACACTGATTCACACTTCTCCTTTTAGTAAATCAAAAGAATAATTCTTAATGACACCCTTCCTTTGATGAGAAAAAAATGCCCTTTATTTCATAAAAATTATTCTTAAAAATACCCTTCATTTTACGATCACAATCCTTTAAGATATTCTCAATTTGTATACATACCCAGGTCCTGACTGCCTATAATACTGTATCTTGGATACCCAGGTAGGTCTCTCTCTGTCCCCAGAGCAAACTTGTCCTGTGTCCATTGTACCATCCCCACTGCATTATTCACCTCACAGGGAAGTATCACAGTCTGGCCATGGATCACTTCACTGTCATGCGGTTGTGTGCGGAAAGATTGCTCACCATGAGCTGGAAAATAAAGATTATATGGGATGAGATTCAATCTAGCTGAGAGACTTCTCCTTAAGGAGACAATGGGAATGGGATAAAGTTTGTGTTGCTACTTTATTGTAGGATAACATCAAGATAAAGACAAACAAAAACAACAATGACAACAGAAACAACAACAACAACAGGATATATGGTTACACTATAGAGCTTTTTAATATATTCATCTTGTATTTCTGTAGAATTTATCCATATTTTACAAACACCCACCCCTCGCATTCTAGCTCATCAAACAGATCTGAAATAAGGGTGTGGGTTATATACATTTTTAAACAAGATAGATCACCCATCTAAACGAACAAATGTGTGTGGGCATGAGTGTTTAAATACAAAGTATCAAGCTGCTCTTGATAAAAATCCTTGGGATGACTAATGCTCCAAATGGTTCAATGTTTGCTGGACTCACACCTGGGGAAAGTTAACTCCTTGAATTGATGATGCCGTGTTTTAGAACTTGAAATAGAGAGGGAACGAATGGAATTTACAGGGAATAAGGTATACAGGCTCGTAGCTGACACTCTAAATGGTAAAGAAATGCAAGAAAATCAGACACTTTATTCAAATTTTAAAGAGATAATGATCAAAAAGCGTAAGCAGACGGATATTTCGAAAAAGGAAGTTCTGATACTACTGTAACCAATCAATTGAAGCCAGGATTTCCCACACTTCCATATGTTATTTAATGATTGTGGTTTTCAAAATAGTCTCAGAAAAGTTGCAAGATGGCTTTGCCCTTTAATTGAATTTCCCATTTGTTATGTTTCTCCAAACAAAACAAAGAAACCAGAAATGTTCCATTGAGGAAATGACGAATAGAACAACCAGCAAAACGTATTATTTAGAACCGATCGGGAAAATGATCAGGTTTGTTCAACGTTGGAGAATAAGTGTGAAAAGCTGCAAAAATCATTTACAGGGAATAAACTTGTATGTTTAAGATGTTTTGCAGACAGTGCAAGTTTAAAGGAGTTATCTCCGCCTAAAACCCATTAAATAAAGGGTTACATCTGGTTTGAGTCCTTTGTGGTTAGATTGTTTGAAATCTGGAAAAGACAAACATAGTTTCTAAGCGCCTAATAAATATATCTCCAAAATCAAAATAGGACTTTTATGGCATGTTTAGTATTATGGCGTAAGTGAAACAAAAATACTCCAGAAGGTAGTACATTCACTTTATGGGACCAAACTAAGGAGATGTAAAACAGGAGGTTATAACATCTATCCCAGAATGCAACTGAATACACTAAATTCAATCCCAAGTCCTGATGGGAGTAGATAACCTCCCTTGGCATGAAACAGTTTCAAAACACAAATTATGGCTGTTTTAGTAGGGTATAAAGGAATAACATTAAACAAAGTCAGGGATAATGTCTGTTTTGTCTTGCCTCATTTACAATGGAGATAACTAACAAATAATCCATCAGTAAAATAGTTTTTCTTACTTTTCCTTATTTCTAATTTTGAATGTACTTCTTTGCAAATGACTTACCGTACATGTACATCAAGTCATGTTCTGTAAAAGAATCTTCACACAGGATTGATAAATTTGAATTTTTGCAATTAATAAAGGAACAGATGATTTTTCAATTTTGTTGCAAATATGATCTCAATGATCTCTAATGAATCTTTCATGACCTTATATGGGCATTTAAATGTGCAACAAATGCTTTACCATGTATGCATATTGTTGTGTCAAATGGGCTGTAGGAAAGTGAGTAATAGTCGTATCAAAACAGTGATAAAATCTGAATCTCCATGTGACATGATGTTAATTTTCATAAAAGTGTGTGGTGCTAACATGGACTTTGTGGTGCTAACATAGACTTTGTGGTGCTAACATGGACTTTGTGGTGCTAACATAGACTTTATGGTGCTAACATAGACTTTGTGGTGCTAACATGTACTCTGTGGTGCTAACATGGACTTTGTGGTGCTAACATGAACTTTGTGGTGCTAACATGGACTTTGTGGTGCTATCATGAACTTTGTGATACGAACATGGACTTTGTGGTGCTAACATAGACTTTGTGGTGCTAACATGGACTTTGTGGTGCTAACATGTAATTTGTGGTGCTAACATGGACTTTCAAGAGAGAACACCAATAGTACTAAGTGGTACAATTTGTATCAATATTGCTCCATGGAAAACACAAGCTAGCAATGAAAGCATTACTAAGTACATTTAATTTAAAAGATCTATGGTGATGGGTACACCAAGAAAAAAATAGATGACACCTGAAAGACATGTCAATTTTTGAAAATTAAACAGGTGCATGAAACATCTACTTTAGGAAGAATAATCATACGAGCCCAACACCCAAACATAGCAAACATATATCAGTCATCATCATGGCTGAAATAGCTCAACATTGTGAATTTAGAGATATGAAAGTTCAGAGAGCATTTGGAAATGTACACCATGAATATAAACAGAAGATTGCATGGGAGATGCCATGGTTTATCTCTTGCAGATGCACCTTTGCAGGCTAGTGGATGGATTATACTATGAAAACATAAAAAGTTTGAATTTTAGTATGGTGAATCCTAGCCTGTTACACAAAAATACACTTATTGTAGGCCAATATTATTGCTAATGAATTCACTGATCATAACATTCCCACTTTTTACCCCCCAATTATTTCCAGAACCTTAAGAGTAAGAATACAAAGTTGTTCTCCCCTCCCTCAGGCAAAGGGGTGTCAAAACTGTCATAGAAATAAGAATTCCTAAATTAATTGCTGTAACCATAGATATGATACCCAGGATATGATGATGTCATTTTATAATGCTTTAAGACATTTTAGAATGTATCATGTCCATATTTTATCCCTCTTAGATGACATTGGATATTTGAGGCCCAACACTCCATTGAAGTATGTACTTCTAACCAGACTTCTTATAAAACTAACCTCAAACAAAATGCAATCAGGCTTTATTCATCCCCTTTTGTTGTGATAGAGTTTTGGATCATTGTAATTGTAAAAAATTAGACTTTCATTGTCAAACCACATTGCTTCAAATAAAGCAGGACAGAACAGAGAAGCCATATTAATGTTTTTCGAAAATCAATCAGATATCCAAGTATTTTTTAATTTCAAGCTCAATTTAACCAAGAGATAACAGATCTTAACTTTGATTTTTATAACTGAACCCTGGGAGCACGTTTTGTTGTTGTTGTTGTTGCTAAGGGGATTAGTAAAACAATAAACCATGGGTTATCAAAACATTTTCTTTCTTTTAGGACACTGAGACTTCAAACATTATAAATCAATGCTGTATAGTATAGTATGTTACCTATACCTAACTCCTTTCTTTGGTCATGCTTATTTCACTCAATTTCTCTTTAAAATTTGAATGAAGTGTTTGATTTTCTTGCATTTCTACACAATTTAGAATGTTAACTACATGTCCATCTACTTTATTCCTTGCTAATTCCACTCTTTTTCGCTGTATTTTTCATTTTAAAACATACCATCATGATATTTTTCTCATGGGCCATCCAATTAACACTAACAAGTTTTTAAACCAGTGATAAGAATATCTAAAGAATTAACTAATTTGCACTTGCATATACAAACGAGTTACAACTTAGATTGATGTCAGATTTAATTAGAGAAATTCAAAGACGGTATTTGTATTTTTGAACCCCTGATTAGTTAGTGCAGTTCATGATAGAGAAATAAAATTCTAGGCTTAAAGGAACATTCCTGGACAGACCATTTCTCTCCTAATATGGTAGCTATAACCATATATATACTTTCCATATTTAGCAAAACAGGGAAAAATGTTTTAATATAGTCAATATTGATCACTTGAAAATGTAGTGCTGAATTCCAGTAGGCTGCCATCTTTTAGTATTTCCCTCAGGAAGTGATGTCATCGACTCTCAACTTTGCATATAACATTATAAGGAGCTATTAAGAATTACAAAAACCAGCTGTGCATTCTTTTTCAATTTTGACTATGATTTAATCCTTCTATAAGTCTTTTCTATTATTCTAAGCTGACAAACTCTGAAAATATTTTTGCACATAAAGTAAGAACCACTTGTCTAGAAATGATTTTGTGCTACTTCCCTATACTGTTATATGCAAGGTCATGGAAGTTGAGAGTCGATGACATCACTTCCTGAGTAAAATCTTAAAAGATGGCAGCTTACTGGAAATTAGCACTACATTTTTAAATTATCAATATTGACTATATTAAACATTTCCTGGTGTTTTGCTAAATATGGAAAGTACATATATGATTATAGCTATCACATCAGGATAGAAAAGGTTTGGCCAGGAATGTTCCTTTAAACATATAAATATCATTGTAAAAGGAACAATGTATTGCATAAGTAAAATATCCTCTTTGGCCTAAGATTTGACTCAAGTTCTCTGGCCTGTTACTCATACGATAAAACCTTAATAAACACCTCTTTATAGTGAACACTTGTTACTAGTAAACCACCTCTTCTCAGCAAATACTCCACTGACTCCTGTGTAAAATCACCTGTAAACACCTCCCTCTAGTGAACACATTTTTGTGGGTCCATAGGTTTTCACTGTACGCAGGTATTACTGTAGTTGTGTATTAGTTCCATCTCTAAAATAAAGCTTCGTGTACCTTATGTTAAGGCTCTGACACCAAGGGTAGCCCTCACCTAGCTGCCCAGTGACATTTGTACTTAGACCATGGACATAATTAGACAGGACTGAATGGCAGACAGGAAAATCAAGTCACTATGGAAACAAAAAGTAGTGTTATTTTTCGATTAATTTTTTACAGTCCTCACCTGATTGGCTTTAAACCACAATTAGTTTTTTTTAAAATTTCAAATCTATCTAAAAGAATATCTACCTTCCCCATCCCTTCCTACTTGATACCCCTTTCGCTTAATTTGAAATGCAGTACAATTGCTTACTAGTCAGTGTGCCAACTGTCTTCTCCCGACTGTCAGCTCCCATTGTACCTTTTAACCTATTAAGACTTATAGAATATCTACTGTCCCCCACCCCTTCTTACTTGATGCCCAATTCACTTATTTTAAAATGCAGTACAATTGCTTACTAGTCAGTGTGCCGACTGTGTGCTCCCAACTGAGAGTTCCCATTGTACCTTTTAACCTATTAAGACTTATAGAATATCTACTGTCCCCCACCCCTTCTTACTTGATGCCCAATTCACTTATTTTAAAATGCAGTACAATTGCTTACTAGTCAGTGTGCCGACTGTGTGCTCCCGACTGTGAGCTCCCATTGTACCTTTTAACCTATTAAGACTTATAGAATATCTACTGTCCCCCACCCCTTCTTACTTGATGCCCAATTCACTTATTTTAAAATGCAGTACAATTGCTTACTAGTCAGTGTGCCGACTGTGTGCTCCCAACTGAGAGTTCCCATTGTACCTTTTAACCTATTAAGACTTATAGAATATGCCCTGCGTACAGAGTCTAGTTAAACTACACTCTGCCTAGTAGAAACCATATTACAGTTTAGTAGCCCCGCCCCCACGACAGTTACCGATGACAGTTTGGGTAGTAAATCACTTCTGACCTACGCGCTGACCTTTGTTCTACCAATCAGCGAGCTTGAAGAAATCCGCCAAATGCGTTCTAATTAAATATGCGCATGCCATTGGTCAATTCCGGGCTCAACGATGACGTCAGAAGGAATGACCATATATAGAACGTCGGTCAAATTTGGCCGATGAACACTGATTGGCGCGGTGAGTTCACAGGTTTATTTTAGTTTGAAAGAGTGAAGACGAAGCTCTCTTTTAAGAAGTGAAGTCAAACGAATGCAAAGGGTATATAGAATATCTACTGTCCCCCACCCCTTCTTACTTGATGCCCAATTCACTTATTTTAAAATGCAGTACAATTGCTTACTAGTCAGTGTGTCGACTGTGAGCTCCCGACTGTGATCTCCCGTTGTACCTTTTAACCTACTAAGACTTATGGAATATCTACTGTCCCCTACCCCTTCTTACTTGATGCCCAATTCGCTTATTTTAAAATGCAGTACAATTGCTTACTAGTCAGTGTGCCGACTGTGTGCTCCCGACTGTGTGCTCCCGACTGTGAGCTCCCATTGTACCTTTTAACCTAACAAGACTTCGAAATAAAAAAAACTAAAGCTTACCACTGTGTAAGATGATGTTTAAGATGCAGATAGAGATGAAGAATGCTGATGCAACTTGATTCCAGAGATAAGCCATCTTTAGTGGTGTAGCAATAATCTGAAAACATAAAAATACGAAGTCATTAACATTTCATTGCTTTTTTCTAATTAGGAAAATTTCACATCAAAGGTTTCGTCAATTTTAGTGATATACAGGGAAACATAATACAGGGTGACCCAAAAATATGTTTACATTTTATCAACAGCTGTACCACCCTGTATTTGTATGGAACCATTGGTTCAACAGTTATGCCTGAAGCTAAATAGTAGATCACACTAGCCTCTTGACTACCTGGAGTGACCAGATATCTTGTCACCTCAGAAATGACCTTGAAACCAAGAGTGACGAGAAGATCTGTCACAAAATTTTTCACTTAAATTGCTCTTATTTGAACAATTTTTATCCAATTTATACAACAATTGTTTTAAAATATGTAGAAATGATCTCTGCCTTCTAATTTTATGAAGTTGAACAAATGTCAAAAGGTGGCAAAAGTGAAAAAATTTCTCGTTTCAACCAATTTTAGAGCCTGGGATTCAAGAGACTAGAGTATATCACACTCTGCATCTAACAAATGATCTAATTTATTTGCATTTTATATCTGGAAAAGCAATATAACATTTTAAAATGCAATTAAACTTTAAACCACAATATAATTGATGTGTTTATACAAACTGTTTGTTGTGAATTTGAAGTAAAAATGATTATTTTCACAGCCCCCTGACAATGGTACAAATAGCTATGAAAAAACAAATATATTTTATAAGCTGTTTTTAATGAGAGACAGGGTCTATAATTTGTGACCTAATACAGTGTTTTGCACTTTCCTAAATCATTAGACTAAACAACCAAATATATCACTTTATGCTCTATTATAAAACATATGCTTGGGGCCATGTGTGGAACACTTCTGAGAGTCCCAAGACCAATGTTAGGTGAACCTCTTATAAGTAGAACACCTCCCAAGTGGAACACTTTTAGAGGTTCAAATGGTGTTCCATTTAGGCAAGTTTTACTGTACAATGAAACCTCTATTTCAGAACACCTGTTTTATCTAAATTCCTGGGAAAATTTAGAGTAAAATAACAGTTTATCAAAGTGGAGTGAATGGTGTAACGTGTTTGAAAGTGGTGATATCACCACTCAATATTTCCTTATGGGGATCATTACCTTATATGGAGCTAATTTGATGAAAATTTAATCTCAATATATTTGATGATCGCCAATATAATCCAGCCACACTACAAACTGAAAATCATTGAGTCTAATCAGAAAGCTTTTATACCAAATTAACAATATTTCTTGGGGTTATCTGGTTAAATTTCCAATTGTTCCATGAGTGTTTCTCATGTATAAACAGAATTTTGGGTTCTTCTCTTTTTGTCCTGTGGAAATCTAATTTTTTGAAAGGTATTTTCCTATCCTATCCATTCCTTAAGGTATTCTTCTATCCCATCCATTCCTTAAAGGTATTTTCCTGTCCCATAATTTTCTATATTGTTCTATTCATTGCTGCATTCTATATTTCTGTTTCTATTCTAATATTTCCATCATGTCCCAAATGTGCATTCTATTTTTGTACTCTAAACCACATTTTTTACAAAAACTGAAGAATTACAGAATTCCTTGTTGCTTGATCTGATAATCTTAATGTGTTATCAAAGGTTCATTTGGAAAAAGGAAAAAATCCACCTGTATTAAATACAAACAAGCACCTCATTCTACAGAATCTTACTTTAACATTTAAAAGAACCAGAACTGTACCTGATTTTTGCAATCCCATATATTTTAGTTTTTGCAGTATATATATGTAGCTGTTTACAAAATAATACTCAATGCTTTCATTTCTTCTCTCTTATTTTGCATTTTACTTCATGGTACTATCTCTGTCTTATGCTTGTCTTGTGAAAAATAACTTCACATAGAGTGAACCATCAAAGGGTTCATATTTTAAAACTCAAAATAGAGTGGAAAAGAGTGGAATTAGCAAGGAACAAAGTAAACAGACATGTAGATAATACTCTGAATTGTATAGAAATGCAAGAAAATCAAACACTTTATTCAAATTTTAGAGAGAAATGGAGTGAAATAAGCATGAGCAGACGGGCATTTTCCATGAGGTTATTCTTTATTGAGGGGTCATAGTATGTTTTGGCAACTTTAGTTACCATGCTGCCAAGAATCATGATTTATGAAGACAATTAGTAGAGCCTGCTAGAGATTCCTCTGTGAACATTCCAAAAGATTTTCAAAAATCCTTCAAATTTCACTCTATTTCTCTCTTAAATTTGAATGAAGTGTTTGATTATTTTACATTTCTATACAATTTAGGGTGTCTCCTTCAAGTCTATTATGTTCATTCCTTGCTAATTCCTCTCTTTTCTGTGAAATTCTTAAAAGAAAAGAAGATGACATGATATCACATTTTAGGGTTTTACTGCACAGATCCTGCTTGTAAAATGCAGGAACAATGCTGGGTCATGCACAAAGAATGACAACATATTCGTTCATCTTTCCTTACCATATAAAAAGGAGAGAAATATCCAAGGAACAAACAAAACAGGGATAGAGTATATGCATCAAATTGTCACAAAAACAATAGTTAATTCAAATTATAGAGAGAATGATGTAAAATTAAAATGATAATGTCCATCTTTTGAATAGTGTTTACCTTCTGCTCTCATTTATACCTAACATTTTCATTGGTCATTCCCTTTCAACGTTTTTTTTCTTTAAAAATTGAATAAACTTTCTGATTTTCTTTCATTTCCATATAATTCAGTGTTAACTACATGCCTGTTTACTTTATTCCTTGCTAATTCCGCTCTTTTCTACTCTATTTTGCAATTTAAAACATGACCACCAAGTCTTTCTCTCTCACAGGTTAAGACAGTTATGAATATATTGGTCATGAGGGTTCAAACATAACAAAATAATGTAAAAGTCAAAGATGCCAAGCATTATGAGATCTTTTTACTCCTGTTCAACATATCTTTGTTCTATCTACAGGCCCGTAGCCAGGGGGGTTCGAAGGGTTCCCCCCTGGCCAAAAAATCTTTCAAATTCATGTCATTTTTCACCATTCTGAATTTTTTTTCACCATTCTGAATTTTTCAAAAAGTGACCCCCATAGCAAATCCTGGCTACGGGCCTGATCTATATACACATATGAATACTTGCAACCTTACCACAGAACAGGAGTGTGTCGTCAAAGGAGTATCTGTCTGAGAGTCGATACAAAGGGAGCATTCCTCATCTATCCTGATTTTCTGAGCCTAGTACACTCATCGTAAGTGTCGATGAAGATCTCTTTTAATCAAGGAAAATCAAACTTCATAATGGTATCAATCAAATAACTTGTAATTTGATCCACCTTTCAAACTGAAAAATGTGTTCTGACCACACCCACCAACAGACAAAAACAAAAAATCCATGTCCAATGCATACATCACCACTTTAAGTATGACAATGAAAGAGTGTCACTTTAACATATAACTGAACAAAACTTAATACATGTAAGGATCCCGCTCTCAGAAAAATAAAATATAGAAAGATAGGCTAAGTTAGTCCAGAGCAATAATCTTAGTACAAGATTAGTTCAACTCCCCCACCTGGTTCAAAGTGTGATATCTGGCATTTGACCTGGCACGTGGAACCTATCAACAAAATATCATGGGGTTACATTTTAAACTAGAAAATTAAGAGGAAAATAGTGATATTAACAAAAAATAAAGTATATGGCCATGTAGTTAACACTCTAAATTGTATAGAAATGAAAGAATTTCGAACATTTCATTCAAATTTTTGAGAGAAATTGATTGAAATAAGCATGAGCAGACGGACATTTAAGCAGCCGTTTGGGGCCTAAGGCACCTGGTTCTTATCCTCTCACAAAATTTCACTTGTGCTATGTTTTCATTTCATGTATTTTTATCTAAAATATGAATAACTGTCTTATTTTCTTGAATTATTGCATAATTCTGCAGTTTTCTGATCAAATATCTTAATCTGGAATATACTCTTAACCAAAATGTTAACTCTAATCTTTAGAGTACAGCTACAGCTAGCCTCTTACAAAGAATACTACACACTCTCAAATTGGCATGACTCCAAGCCTTCAAGTGTCCAAGATCCTTACATTTAATTCAATTATAGAACAACTGCATGCAAGTCAGACAACCTTAATGTCCTATGGCAAGGTAAAACCAGTTCTAATTTAACTCATGTCTGTGCTAAGAACTAAGTCAATGGCGTCTAACACAGTTGTTCACTTATTCGTAGAGCCTAGGGGTGCAGAACATGTAACCCTGAATACCCATTAGGAACCCTAGAAAAATACCCTTTTATTTCCAATACTTTCATTTGGTGTTTTCTATTTGATCTTCAACTACCCAATTTACTAAGCTCTCAGACTGAAGGTTAGGGACGATAAATATCGAACGGAATGCGTGACATATCCGTATTTCACGTGAAAAGTCCGAACGAAATGCGTACGTTTTTTCCCGTCGTTTGTATTTTTGCTGTGTAGACGATCTTTTTTAGAAAATTTCTACAGAAATATTTTTGCTTGACAATTAACAGGTAAAATGCGTATTTGCGTGACATTTTCTGTCACGCAAAAATAACTGGCGTGACTTCAAATTCTTCAGCAAATGCGTGACAAATACGCAAATTGCGGGACAGTTGACAGGCCTGCATATCTGACCTGGCATGTGAAACCAAAATGATATGGTGGTCATGGTTTTAATTGACAAATAGAATGAAAAAGTATGAGACCAGAATAAAGCATCCTCCGATCAAAGGGCTTCAAAATTCAGATATCTTCTTTCTTTTTACCCTCTGCTATAACCAAATGGGAAGCACCCGATTAAACTGAATCATGTGATCTAATTATGCGCTGATGACGTAAACATGATTGCTGTCGCAGTGTTGCGACAGCGAATCAAATTGTGAGTTCTTAATCGGAGAAATGCAAACTGCTTATAGCAGGGGGGAAGAAGGAGGTATGGATTCTGGACACCTGCTTAGAAGGATGAGAATAAAGTTAATAGACATGT